AAATTTTTTTAAGATTGTCGAGGAGAAAGTATTTTCAGCATATTAGTAGTGAATAAGGTTAGATTCTTTATGATATTTTAAAGGATTACTTTAATGTAAATAATTGGAGTATATTTCAGATTTTATTAACTAAAACATGGAATGTGACAAAAGTAATTACATTGTATGGATAGATACGGAAGTAAGTATAAAAATATTACACAGTTTTCTATATAGAAGCAAACAAAGCATCATGTTGAATTGTTTTATTTCAAGTTAACAGGACTCAATATAGAAAAAGACACAATCTTAGAAATTGCGTGTTTAATAAGTGACCAAAATTTAAATATTGTAAGTGAAGAATTTAATGTTGTCATTAAACAATCCGACACAATTTTGAACAATATGGATGATTGGAATACAATTCATCATACAAAAGTAAGTTAATTATTTTATGTTTCAATAATTAAATATTATTTATTTCAAACAAGTTGCATACTCTAATTTGAAAATTATGTTTTACAGACAGGACTAATACAAGCCTCTAAAGCTAGCAAAATTAGTTTGAGAAATGCAGAGCAGATGTTATTGAGTTTTTTACAGAAATACATTCCAAAAAATTCTTGCCCTTTAGCTGGTAACACAATTTACATGGATCGTTTATTTATACTTAAACACATGTCATTAGTCAATGATTATTTACATTATAGAATTATCGATGTTAGTACAGTTCAGGAGTTAGTTAGGTATGTATTTTATAATTCATCGTGGGTGAATTGATAAAAATAGCCATTTCGAGCAATTGGTTACTTTTTATTTTCAAAAGATATACATACATATATGAATTTAGTACTTAATGTACTATATACTAATGGAACCTGAGGAATGAGTGTGTTTTAGTAAAAATTCGTTGAACAAACTTATATGTGTTACATTATTTTACATGGCAATTTTTATTAACTCGCTCTGTATAATGAGTTACTGTAATTTTTATTGAAATGGTTAAAATAATATTATCTAACTTTAGGAGGTGGAATCCAACAGACTATAAATTTCGACCGCAAAAGCAATATAACCATAGGGCATTAGATGATATTAAGGAAAGTATACAAGAATTAAAGTACTACAAAAATACTATATTTATGCCTGCAGATACATCACTAATACAATGAAACCATTAAATATATTAACCTGCACTTTCGTGCTCAATATGTGCATGGAAATATATATTTTTAAATATATATGCATAATATAGAAATCTAAAATAGATATCTACAAATCTGTAAAAATAAAGAAATGAAGTACGTAGAAAAAGCTTATAATATGTATGTACTTTCTTCTTCCACTTTACATCTATTTTGATATTTCCTTTCCAAATGTTTTTATTTATATTTATTTCTCTATTACTGTATACTACTGGCGTATTTCAATTTTGTCACACAGGCTCACCAGGATTATCTGCACTTTTTTAGTATTGCATGTTGATATTACATTTTGACCAGGACGAAAGGAAGAGTCATGACAAAAAATTTATATATGCGCGAGAAATCCTCTGATACAAGTCCCATTAAACTGCACTGCTAAAAATTTCAGTGCAATAAAATCTGCATTCATCTATTTCAGTTCACTTATCCGAATGCGAATTTTGCACTGCTCGAGAACAGTGTTTGTTCGTCGAATGTGGTACAAAAAGTTGCATGCCAACAGTGCAATATAGTCGAATGCTTTAATTATAATAATTAAAAGCCGAATGCAACAATTGCACTGGGAGAGAGAACGCCAATTGAATATGCGGCATCGAAAATGTTCCCACTGAGTGCGCACTAGTGCGGGTCGCAGAATTCATTATTAGATTAATGTGACAGTGGCAAAAATTATTTTGTACATGATTTTCCATGTGTATTGTGCATTAACTTACTAATTATTTATTAATTACGATTCACTGTAATGGAAATAGACGGAGAGCTGGCTGCATAAAAACGCAAGGTATAAGGTAAATGAAATATTTATAACTATAGTTAAGAGGCTAATCTCTACATATAGAGAGGTTCTATTAGACTATTAATATTAAAAAATTTTCGACTTTTTACTATCACGCGCATTCGTGCGCGGCCGCAGCCGCGGTCGTGTTGCACACTATTTTGTTGTACAGATGAGTATCTGACCTTAGGATACAAATATTTATAAACTCGGATTAAAAAAATTATTCACAATTAAGTCCAAGGCCGATATCCACTTGTATCGTATTGCCTTTATGTATCACTTAGTGATACGGCAATGTAACTTTGATGGTTTATGTTTACGATTGACGATTTTACGATACAAGTGAACATCAGCCGAATGAAAATGATGAATGGCTGCGTAACATTCTCAAATTTTTTTGGGAGACTCTGTCAAGTGACAAAATCAAGTTGATACTTCGCAATGCGAAGTATCTGTGATATCATTAAACCATGGGTTTCTTGGAGGATACATTTGTGATTCTTATCACACAGGTGGAAATTTATTTCCACTAACGTACATAAATAAATTCTCGCCGGTACTCGTAGATATACACAATTAGGTTATGAACGATTAATTTTTCCTTTATTAGAGGAATTATAACTGTAACACTTACATTTATTCGTTGAAACATTTTTCTGACTAATCGTAAAAGCTTCGAAACGTATAAAAATAGAAATGTACATTGATGATGTGTTATTGTATTCTTTTTAGATTTTACCATGTATACATTGCTTATATTGATATTACTAATTTCTCATAATTAATCTGATGGCTTAAAATTTTGCACCTTATTTTTTAAACTGACATTTATTTTTTAATCTTGTACAACCAGATTGTGTATCGTTACTTCTATTTACTTATTTTTCAAATATTTTTCCATTCATTTACATTACATATTCCAGGTCATCTTTTTCTTAGGTGGGTGGGTGTTTTTTGTAAAAAAGTTATTTCGTGACTATGAAGTTCATCACAGATTAGTACAACTAATTTTTTCTACTACATTTTCCTTATCTTGTACTATGTTTGAGCTTATTATTTTTGAAATAGTTGGAGTTCTTGATTCAAGGTGAGTCGCTGGTTTTATTTCTAATTGAACATATTAACAATGACGCACATTTAGTTCCAGATACTTTCACTGGAATGTTGGTCTCTATATGCTTCTATTTATGGTAATCGTTTTGATTCCATTTTATATAGCATATTTTATCATTAGCAATATTAGATTTGGTATGTATACAATAGTAGATTTAGATTCATACATGATACTTCAAATTATACGAACTGTCTGTTATTTCTCTTTACAGTAAGACTGAAGTTAATACGACCATTAACTATAGTAGTATATCTCTTCTATCTCTACTTATTTTGGAAGATAGGTGATCCATTTCCAATTTTAAGTCCAAAGAAAGGTCTATTATCTATTGAACAAGGTGTCAGTAGAATAGGAGTGATTGGTGTTACTGTAATGGCACTACTGTCAGGATTTGGTGCTGTAAATTATCCATATAACTCAATGGCTTATTTTATGCGACCTGTAACGTATGCTGACGTACAAGGTACAGAAAGGCGATTGTTACAAACAATGGATATGATTGTTGCTAAAAAGAAGAGGATAGCATTAGCTAAAAAAGGAGAAATTTTGGGACAAACTGAAACTCGATCTCGACTTTGGGGAATGTTTGGGCCCTTAGGAGGCACTAAAAGTAATCAAGAAAGTGTGTATTCTATACTTTCATGATTTATTAGTACTCATAAACTTATATTAATAATTTTTAAATAAAAATGTGTAGGCATCAAACAGTTGCAAACAGAAGTTACAGCGTTAGAGGAATTGTCACGACAATTATTTTTGGAGGCACATGATATTCAAAATGCAAGAGAACGTTTGGAGTGGGCTGCTACTTGGCAGGGAAAATATTTTAATGTTTTAGGATATTTTTTCTCTGGATATTGTACTTGGAAAATATTCATAGTAAGTTCAAAAATTGAGAAATACTGAGGAACTTCAGGGATAAATACATTTACAATCTACATCTTTTTTAGTCGACAATTAATATAGTTTTCGATCGGGTTGGTAAAAAGGATCCGGTAACAAGAGCAATCGAAATTGCAGTACACTGGATTGGTTTTGACATTGATGTAACATTTTGGTCTCAACATATTTCTTTTTACCTCGTTGGTTGTATTGTATTGACATCGATCCGAGGTTTACTGCTAACCCTTACAAAGGTATACTTTAGATAAATTTCTTCATTTTCGGAACATTGTAGTTTATCGCGTATTCGTAGTTTATCCTATATTCTAAATTATTTATTTATTATATAGTTTTACTTCATTTTCAGTTTTTTTATGCTATATCAAGTAGCAAATCGTCAAACATTATTGTACTTATACTTGCTCAGATAATGGTAAGCATACCTCGTTTCAAAGTATGTACTTATTCTAATAATAATTTCTGTTGCTAATCCGATTATATATTTTTTGTAGGGTATGTATTTCGTATCATCCGTACTTCTAATGCGGATGAACATGCCTGCGGAATATCGAATTATAATAACTCAAGTTTTAGGAGAATTACAATTTAATTTTTATCATAGATGGTTCGACGTTATATTCTTGGTGTCGGCACTGTCTTCGATAGTGTTTTTATACCTAGCTCATAAGCAAGCACCTGCAGAACGAATTTTTAGTTGAATAAAATATTTTTTAAATTAAATGAAAATATTTCTTTATATTCCTAATTGTGTTTATAGTGTTATTGTTTTCTTAATTACAAACATGTTTCCCTTTAACAAGTTTCTGATTATAAAAAATGATTTGCTTATCATAAACTGAAAACATAAAATGCATAGAGATAAATTCGATAGTAATTATTTAAATATTTGTTTATAAGAACGTATTTAATGTTTCTATCTCTAATACATATGTTTTATCAAAGTTAACATGCATAATTATAAGCTTTAAAGACTAAATAATAGATTCATATCATTTACTGATCAAACAGAAGTAACTTTGCATTCGTCTTGTTATTAGTATACAATGACATTTTGATCACAGATAGCTGAAAAAAGTACGAATAATAGAAAACTGGCATTACTGTATGACTGCTGAATTTACAATGAGTAAACTGTAATTCTAATGGATTAATTCGATAGTCCATTCTTCTCCCATATTTACACCAGGTTTACGCACGGTTAATACATTGTTATTTGGGTTGTACTTAGTCTCCAAATTAACTTTGCCCAAATCTGGAAAAAAATGATTTGCGTTTTAATTTTCAAATTACATGCAATCTTTTTTATATAAAACGCGATTACTTACTATGTGACGTCAGCACAGCTGATTTAACTCCCTTTGGTGGATTTGTAATATCTACCCTTTCCAACCAGCTTTCAGTCTGATATGAAGCTAATTTGTCAATGAACATTGAAGTTAATTTGTTTCCTTCAAAATTGAGCACTAAATACAAGTATTTTCCATGACGATATTCAAAACTGGCCTCGTCATCAATGTACAGCGTGCCATTAGCTCTACCAGCAGAATCTGCGATAACTATCAAGGTGTATGGATCGTTCTTCATGGCTACTGTACTGCGACGTATTCTCATTTTACGTGGAACGATAGAACCGCCTCTTTGGAATACTGGTATCTTGTGTAAAGTTACGGGAATATTGACTAAACCTGGTTGCTGATATGGTTGCATGGTATCAACATCATACCAAGTTACTTTGCCTTCTCCAGGGAAATAAACGTTAACATCTGTGACAGCAGGTTGAAAGACTGGACGTATAAGTATAGAATCTCCAATCAATATCTCATCATCAATAGCGTACGTCTTTGTTTCACTTGGATAATGAGCCCACAATGGTAGCACCACTGGAGTGCCGTTTACTTCGTGTTCTCTGAAGAGTGTATACCATAATGGCAGATATGAATATCTCATTCTAAGAGCTTCTCGAACGATTTGCGTAGTTTCTTCGTTAAACGTCCAAGGTTCACGTCGTTTAGTTTCGATATGTGAATGTTGACGGTAAAAAGGAAGCCAAGCTGCAGCCTGATTCCATCTAATGAATAGTTCGGTGTCTGGATTCTTGAAGAAACCTCCTACGTCCGCTCCGCAGAAAGAAAATCCCGAAACAGCTAACGTGAGGCACATCGGATAACTTATACGAAGATGATCCCACTCCCCTGTATTATCGCCAGTCCACATAGCTGAGTAACGTTGGGAACCAGCAAAGAAGGATCGCGTTAATATAAACGGCCGTAAAGTACCGCCTGATCTTCTGAACAAAGCCTCGTACGTAGACATGGTCATATAGATTCCGTACGAATTATGAATATGTCTGTGTTCCCAGCCACCATAATGTATTACATCCTTGAGCATAGAAACTTCGGGGCCGTTGAATACACTTGGCTCGTTCATATCATTCCAAATATATACATCATTAGTGGTACCACGGAATTTATCCAAATTGTACAGACTCATATAATATTCCCGTACCGCTGGATCCAAGAAGTCTAAATATGATGCTGCACCTGGCCAACACCAACCTTCATAGTCTTTTCCATCTTTTGTTTTAACGTAATAGCCTAATTTAGTGGCGTCGTTGTGGAGGAAGTAACCGGTATCGCGTTTAATGTGCGGATCTATGATGACCACCAATTTTCTACCTTTTGCGGTTAAATTGTGTATCATTTCAATTGGGTTTGGAAACTTTCGTTCATCCCATGTGAAATATTTTTTACTATCGGTGTACTCTATATCCAGCCATATAGCGTCCATAGGTAGGTCGTGTACGTCAAAATTTTCTGCTATTTGTAGAACATCATCTTGATCATTGTAATTCCAACGACTTTGATGATATCCTAAAGAAAACATTTGTGGTAGAGGTGCTGTACCCGTTAAAACAGTGTACTGTTTGAATACATCTAAAGGTTTGGGACCCAACATGAAGAATACATCCATTACACCAGATTCTGACATAAAGTGTGCATCCACTTGTGGTTTTTTAGAGCCAGATACGAAGTTTACGATACTTTCTACAACGTTATTGTCGGCGCTTGATAAAATGTCGACCCATGTTTCTGCAGCGTTATGCCAAAAGATACCAGTCGTTCGCTCTTTGCCGTGAGCATAAAGCACAGGTATGGCCCCGTAAAGTGCCATCCTTTCATTGGTCTCATATTCAAACACATCTAAGTTGTACAATCTATAAGGATGATTATTCTTTGTAGATTTTAGAGCAAAAGAATCCGCATGTTCCGGCACTCCATATGTATACTCCGCTCCAGGAAAACTGAAGTCCAAAGCAATTGCCTCTGGACCAAAAGGTTTTGCGTCATGGTGAGTTTTGAAATTTTCTTCCCAAGCACCTGGATCATTCTCTGAACCATCACCTGGAGCCTCATTGTTATTTTTAGCTACCTCAACGTTTTCTGAATTTTCCTCTTGTTCTGGTTTACTATTAAAAACCGTCAAAAATTATTTAGTTGAATCATATACAATTAACAGTGAGATCTAACACATAACTCGTTAAGCTTACTTGGGTTTTGTACGGAGATGCTCAAATCTTAATAAACCTCTTGCATTTCCAGAGGCAACCAATATATCCTGAGAATATAAATCCACTCTAAATGGATTGGCATACAGTACAACTTTGTTTCCTTCATTTGTTATAGTAACGTGATCTGCAGTTTTCTCAACCAAAGTTAATTTAGAAGTTTGTGGTTGATCTTGAAGAGCATACTCAGGTAAATATCTTGGATGTAATGGATTCTTTTCATTTATTTGCAACCTAAATGTATTTTCCTTTAGTGCAGTTAACTGCAGTATATAAAGGACTCTTGTATCTTTATTAAACAAGTCCACATTTATACTGGATTCATTCTGAGTTAATGTATCTGTTAAAAGTTGGTAGGGCGTTTTCCCAGGTTCAACTTTTCTGCATCGTCTAACAACATTAATATGCAACTGATATTAATCACACAGTCACTTATTTAACTGACAACACAGATGTCATATACTTACCTACAAAAACTACTTTGCTCACATGTTTTAAATGTATCTCTATTAACTGCACCAACAAGGAGAAAAGAAGAACCTAATAATAATAATAATCCCAATCTGCAATATAAATTGTTAAACATAAAATTTTTTGTTAATGGCTTAAAGAGACTATTATCAATATTAGTTACATTTTTTTCTTGAAAAAACGTGGGAAACAATGAACACTCATCGTTAGTGTGCCTTTGATACTAATTGTCGTATGTGGCTTTTAGATGGCAAAATTGCTTCTCGAATGATTCTAAATGTATAGTATCGGTTTTATAAACAAATTGGTCAAAACAGTGTAATGCAGCGTATCGTATTGTTCGAAATAAGCTCTTTGTATCAAACACAGCATTATCACGGACACGTCAGCGTGATCATGATTGCATTATGAGAAGTAAACATTTGAAGAATTATACAGTGTTCGTGGGTCTACTTATGCAATGTCAATTCGATCCAGAAGATTTTATAACGTTTATCGCTCAAGTAGAAAACAGATATTTTTGTTTCGTGAAGGTTAAAAGGCCGAAAATAATTAACTTACCGCACGTACGAGGCCATGTTGAAAAGTAACTATTGCCGTGCTCGCTTTTATTAATTCGAATAAGACAAAATCGATTTCATAGATGGAGCTTCACTTGATATGTATAATTAACAATACGTAACACTGACAATATTATATAGAATAATCGAGGTTTAAATTTTAGAAGTACTTGCATTGCATTCTCTTTGTCAAACTGACAATTATTTGGAAGAGTTATAAAAAGAGTTTTCATCACTAAGCTTTTTCATACGTTTTTCTTCGATATTCTCAATAAATGATCTAGTAGTATAATGGAATAAGTAATCCCATTATAATAGTGGATATAAAGGTGCTTGTGTCTATTTTGACGCATTGACGTTATGACACGTTCACTTTATATAATATCGCACATTCAGTTTATTTGAATTACAAGAGTATTCAGTCGGCAGGGAAAATACAGTCCTATGTGTTCTATATATTACACAATATAGAAGTTTGGCACTCGGAACGGTATTCACTTTGGGGATGTAAAAAAGCCTAACTGTTTCATTTCTAGCATATACTCATTAATCAACACACGTATCTCATTTCTTAAAAATGTCTCTTCTTGCCACACGATCAGAACTATTACAATTAAATACATATGCTGCGAATTCATGAAAGTGTTTTCTCTCTATGTATACATATATACGTAGGAGTGTATATATTTCGTATATTTATATAATATAATAATATAATTATCGTTATTATTATCGTTATTACTATATTAACATCAACGTTAGAGCGTTTTCTTAATTACACATTTCTAAAGTTTTCATTTTAAAGGAATTGTACAGTTAAGGTCACTGTGAATCTGCGCAGCCTAAAAGACGTAACATTTAAATATTTGTCGATTCGACGATGTACGCAAATGGAAATACGTCGAATATCGATCGATCAATCGATTGATTTACTAATGCATTATAATACTGAAGAAAATGAGCGCACCGTTGTTGCATTTTCCATACGCCGATCGACAATTCGTGAACAGTATAAAATAACAAAATTTGTCGTAGCTGTTACAAAAGTCAATTACCAGTTCAATTTTCTAACGAGTCGAATGAGCATTCGAGTAAAGAAATTTTATGTGTTCGATCTACGGATGCAATCGACTAGACTTGACAAATAAAGCACATTGTTGATCCTCAGTAACACCGTTCGTTACTTTCGGAGAAAGATTTGGCAGCTATAATGAATGAAACAAAATCTTTTTTCCTTATTATGCGTGAAATATTCATTCAAATGGTTAGATATATAGGCTGCCGGAAGTAATAGAAGCGACCTCACGTGATGCGACGAGAAATTTCTGAAGCTGGCCAATTCGAGCCTGTAAAAATACGCGGGATTCGTGTAAAAAGATATGTGCGAAAACTCGAGTATTCCTGCGGTTTTACTGCGTGCGTTACCTATACGTTTTACTTTCGCGTCTAGAAAACTTGTGAAGTAATCTCTATATGTTCTTCTTGTAAATATGTATAAATCTGAGATACGCAGTCCATATAGTTTTTCTTTACAAAAGTTTACGTGTAATTAGACGCACGATAGTTCGCGTGTGATAGCGGTATTATGTGCTTTCGGAAATTGCAAGTTTGGTATTCGTGATGTTAAACCTCGGTCTTTTCATCTTACAATAAATGTCCTTAATGAGACGATTGTTTCATATCGTGAAGCTTCAAAATAGAAATGCTTTCCTGTGATTTGAATTCAATAGTGCGAAGCTTCAAAGATGATTCTGACCGAATCAACGAAGGTTCATGTCGAATTCGATATTCCACCAAGAAGAAAGACAGTGAAATCGACAGGGTGCAGGCCTGGTGAGTAATATTTCTTAAAAGACTTGATAATATTTTAGGCACATTCGATCCGTAATAGCAACGATAGTCTCGGGCTTGTAATTATTTTTACACTTAACGAGAGTTTACGTAGTTCTCCCGGAAATTTATTATTATACTAGCACGATAAACATTCTCACGCACAGACCATGCGAAAATGTAACCATTTACTAGTACGAATACAAGATATATTTATACCATCGTTATTATAATTAAAAAAGAGAAGACAAAAGTTGATGGAAACTCTGATGCCTGGCTCGTTGGCGCGATAACATACAATAATTTTAATATAGAACGAAACATTTAACGTGTATAATGTTCATTTGTACGTCTCTTTATTCGGATTTCGGTCATACGATATCGTGTCAGGAAAAAAAGTTTCCGTCAAAGTTTAGATATAAAATCGTGGCTGTACCGTTGACATTTCACGTCGCAGAGTTACTATTTTTTTCTTTAGGCACATTAAGACCATAGTTAATCGACGATTAGTCTCAAAGTATGTATTTCGTAACAAAAAACAGTCTTCAAGTATGAGAAAATGTTACGGCCTGTTCTGCTTTAATCGCGAACAGCCGTCCTTCTGCTAGACCCAATACTGGTTCCTCCTAAGCAAAGGGTTGTTGGTCCTCTGTGTGGTGGCCGATTGACAAGGCAAATCGGACGTGTCGAAATTGTTCCATTCGTCCCCGTCCGGAAATCCGTACGGATATTTCACCGATACATCAACTTCCGAGCCCGTGATATTCTCCAAGGGACTCAGGGGTATCACTTTACATTGGGGTAATGTGGACGTCATCGTCGGTAGGACTGGCAAAGGTGTGCTGGTTGCCACGCTATTGTGATCGTTGGCGTAACGTTTCACGTGGGGCGTCGCGGGCATTAAATGGTCCGGAGGTCGCGGCAACGGCATTACCCCTACCGCCGGGGTAGATTCTGGCTTTTCTTCCTCGGCGTGTTTGTATCTGTTTTGTCTACATCTGATGGTAATGATGACGACCACACCCAGCAAGAATACACCGAGTAGCATTCCCAAGATTAATAAATAATCATTACTCATGTTCGGCGCGATAGCCATTTCGCCTTCGTGACCCACTGGGTCCATAGGACCACCTAGGGTAATATTGTACTCGTCCATGTCGAGTTTCACGCGGAACTCGAATTCACCCACGGCTGGTTGAAATATAGAGGCCGCTAAGACGAACGTGAAGTTATCGATCACTCCCTCGTACTCCAACGTCGGTATTTTTTTGCAAACCATGTAAATCACGCCTGACATCACTTCATAGTGAGAAAATTTATTCACTTCCTTCTCTCTGGTTCCTCGTTTCTCACCGGACGAAAAAGAACTCCTGATAATCCTTTTAATTTTACCGAATTTTGATTTCTTCGTAATCGTGTACGTGGGATTGCTACTCGTTAGTTTGGCTAACGGTGTAGCGTCCAAATACTGCAATGTTATCCGGGTTTTCTCCCCTGCTATTGCGATCATTGGGTTCATGATCATCAGAGGCACCACTCTGATATCTATTCTTATATGTTTCTGTTCGAATCCGCTTAATTTCGCAGTCAACTCGAAGCTGTCGTTTGACACAGTCATATCTGTTTGCATAAACATTACGCTTTTCGACAACAGATCAGTTTGTTTGAAACTAGCTGCTGCTCCATCCCGCACATACAATACCCCGTACTTCGGTGTAGTCGTTATTTCGTAAGTGACCAAGTCTTGTCGAGCATTAGTATCGAGTACCATGTTACTCTCAGAAATAACAGCAACGTTGGAACCTTGTTGCAAGTTCACTGGACCTAATACTGTCACATTTAGTCTAATAGGTAAAACGTACACATTGAACACTGTGTACTTAGGATTGAAGAGTCCGTCCCATACTCTAAAGTAGAAAGAAGCCGCTTGAAGTGGACCGTTGTGTTCGTATACCAGTCGATTGGAATCCACATCGTGTTGGGTGAATTTGTTCACCTGGTGAATCTCCGAGTTGTTTTCATTGAACGGTAGCAGCAACAAACGACCATAAGTCGGACCGCTTATTAAGTCGTACACGATTTCTTCCGGCGGAGTGTCCGGGTCAATCGTCAGTAAGGTCTCCCTGGTTATCGTTTGATTTTGATTCTGAACCACCGTGATGGACGGTTCGTTCGTAATCAATTTGAACGGTTCGTCGTTCACGGGTTGTATTATCACCGGGATGCTGGTGTTACATAAAAGAATGTTACCAGGTATCAGGTAAAGAGAGAAATTTATGTGGTCTTCCAAAGTGTCCGAGTGATCGTGGTAATAGGCAATTTGTCCACCCTCGATCTGGGGTTGAGAGAAGGTGGTGACGTTTAAATCCGGAAAGATCATCACGTGTCCGTGACTAGGTTGGTTAACCAGTCTAGAGAGGACTGCCAGATTTCTGATTCCTGCATGAGTTTGCAAGAACGACACGATTCCGCTTATGTTCATGATCACTGGCGCCGAGCCACCCTCCTCGACTCTTACATTCTTCACGATAATGTATCTGTCCAATCCTCCGCTCGAGACAGAAATGTTTATTTGAAATACCTGGAATAGAAAAGACGATAAAGTCAGAAACGTTTTACTTGCGAGAGTACTCGTTCGTTTTATGTGATCATAATCTTGCCTGATTGGATAAGGATTCCGTGAAATGGGCTTCCACGTCGAACGTAAACGAATCATTGGCAGTTAGGTCCATAAATTGCTTGGTGTGCTCGTAAAACACTTTACTATTATTGATATCCTTTTGCGTGAATCTCTCGACGTTTAACCATGCGCCCTCGCTCGTCTCCATAATGATCTTCCCAAGATGCGGTCCATTTCGCACCGTATACTTTATGTCCCTACTTTCGTCCGAGCAACTCGTTAAAAGCAATTTGCTGGAAATCATCTTCCTGGTTAAGGGAAAAACGTTCAACGCGATGTTTTGTTGCATGTTCAATCGGACTGGTTTTGTAGTTACAAGAATCGTGTATGATTCTGTCGTGTGTACTCCATCAAACAGTACGAAATTAAACTCAGCGTCGGATCCGTCTGAAACGCAAGATATTCTAAGAGATTAAAATATATGTACAGGTACACGTGGTATCTGAAGTAACACAATGTTTATGACAAGAAGATATTTATCACAAGAATTCATTAATTCAATTAGCTCCATCAAATATTTTCTATTAAAATGAAAAAGTAAATAATTTTCTATTCATATTGAGTCACTTTGTTTAGAGTAATAGCCTTTGAAATTACCTAGCGTGATATACTTACTCGTATGCGTAAAAATTACTTGCGATTGGTCGATTTGTTCTTGCGTAAAACTATAAATATCTTTTTCTGGGGAAGATTTAAAAGAGATCAGTCCGTTCCTAACTCCGGTGATATTGAACGTCAGATCATGTGCCGTGGTATCGTTATCGACAGCAGCCAAAATGTCGGACGTCAACGTAACTGAGCCACCTTGCCAAACGCTCAACTTAGTCCTGTTAATGAGATCGGGCACTTCGTCGTTAACTGGTTGCACTGTGACCCAAACGTCGAACGGTTCGCTTGTTTTATCTCCGGCAATAAGAACCATTTTGAAGGAGTCCTTCGAAGACTCGTCGCCGTTGTGTTTATACATTATTATACCACCGGACAAGTGTTTCTGCGAGAACTTTTTCACCTGAGAATTTTTCGTCGACTCGACAATAGCACCATGATTCGGTTTTTCAACGATTCGATAGTCTGTCACCTTGCCAGAATAATAAGGAGTCAGAATGGAAAAGTTCGTTTCATCTAAAACAGTACTTTTCCCTTCGATCACAAACAGTCCCTTTGCCTCGACGTATAACTTCTCCGGGATGATCACAAAGTTCACGCTCAAATCGCGTAGCCACGTTATACCGTTCGTTACGTCGACGACGAATTTGTCGTTTGTCTGGTTCATCACCGTTTGCATGTAAAACACGCGGCCCTCGTTTATCATATGTTGATCGAAGGACTTTATGGCGTTACCGATGTAATCCTCCCGAGTCTCGTCGCTGTGCTCATCGTGGACTTGTAATTCCAGATATCCGTTTTGCGGCCACTTCTTCAGGAAATATACTATTTCAGTGTCCGGTATTTTGGGATGCATGATTTCGAGGCTCTTCCTGCTTAGTAGAATACTGGTAGCTTCTTCTACGAATACCGTTTTATTATTTTGGATGATCAGTTGTTGCCAATAACTCTCAGGATAGATTTTAATTGGGAACACCCCTTGCGTCTCCGCTCCTTTCGTCGACACTCTGAACTTGAACTCGTCTTTTGCCATAGATCCTCCAAGGTGCCTGTACAACACTACACCATAACGAAGATTTTCTTCGGTAAATACGTTCGTTTCTCTTCCAAGTTTCAACAGTACACCGTGCTTTGGTTTCTCCAGCACTGTATACTTAATATCCTTGTTGGAAGTATATACATTGGTTTCGATGTCTAACTCGTCGAGTTTGAGAGCGACCGATCGATTGAACTGCACCACGGTCCCGTTACTCTCTCTCAGCCTCACATAAGGTGGACTAGCCTCGATCTTGAGGACACCGGCAGTATAAAAATGTCCATCGGTCACTCCGAACTCGAATTTCCCATGGTCTTCGCCCTGGTGTTTAAACAATATCTGACCATCGTCGATATCCTGTTGGCTGAACTCGTTTATCTGGGTCGAAAGATCGGTAACACGGTATATCCCGTTTTTTTGGATGTCCCTTCTGGTATAAATCAATTCGCTAGGCTTCGTATCGATGTCCTTGTCTATGTAGGCGAGATCCTTGTTTGTTAATAATCTTTCTCCTTCCGACACCACGTGAAACACTTTGTTAACCACTCGTTCTGGCGCGTTATCGTTCTTCATGGTCACTTCTACACGAAATAGGCCGACATACATGAAGTCAACGGCATCCGAAGCAATCGCGACATACTGAAATGTATCTTCCTTCGTCTCTGAATCGTCGTGGACGTAATAAACCCTCTGCGAGAATAGTTCCTCGGATGTGAAATAGGACGTATTGTTTCTTGAGTGAGATCTCGAGCTATTCGTGACGGTCAACCAACCGTGATGTGGTTCTGTCGTCAGGTTGTACATCAACGCAGTAACGCCGTAATCTGCAGGATTGATTCTCACCACTCTCACGGGCATCCTCGAGCCCTCGTCTACTCTCAACGTTTCCACGCTGTCCATCGGTTTCATGTTCTTGCTGAGGTAGTGCCGGAACTTCAAGACCGAATGCAAATCGATACACTGAGGCGCACTGACTTTGAAACCAAACTCATCCAGAATCGTTGAGTAGGCTCTCTTGAATAGTCGATACCTCAGTTTACCAGAGTCGACGTCCTCCTGTGTGAACGTGTCTCTGATTTCCAGTCTTCGACTCGACAAGAACAGATTGCCGTACCTTGGCACTGACGTCACCGTGAACACGATCTTGTTGGAAGCGGTTATTAAAGGGTTCGTCTGGTATCTCAAGTTCTGTTCGCTTACGGTTACTTCGGTCATGTTAGTGAAGTTCACCAGAATTCTTTTTGCTTCTTTCAACTCGAGATCGATGAAAGTGACCCGAAAGTCGTAAGTGTGTGGCGCTTTCACCTCCCTGACGCTCGCTTGGAACTTGAATTCATCCTGATTCGGGCTACCCTCGTTGTGAAGATATCGAATAGTGTTTAATTCGATGTCTCTGCTGGTGAAGTGATCGACGTTCGTCCAACTGCTCGACTCTTTCAGCTTTTGAATCGTCCCGAAATGTGGCTGCGCGACTATGTCGTAACGTATTTCGATGGTGTTGTCGTCTGAGTTGGTGGTGAACGACAGGTTCGCCGGTGTCAAGTATGAGTAAGACCGATGCACCACGACCAGACCTGTATTGTGCATCAGTTTTATCTCCAACGGATGTGCAGCCACCCTCAGACTCGCCGGTTTACTGCTTTCAATACCGTCGCTCACTCGAAGATCGAGCTTCGCATTCGGTTTCGCTGTAAAAAAAAAAAGAAAAAAATAGAAAACCGCTACGACTATTGACTGAATGGTAAGCCGGGCTGCGAGGAGACAGTAATTAAACGGCAATGATGTGTGTTTGCGCAGTGAATATCGATGAAAATGTTACCGTTTTGGCGATGTACATATGCAATTAATCCTTGCATCAATTCAGCCTGGGTAAACGTGTCGTTGGGTCGCGACGGATAAGTCACCCTTTCCACGTAGCCGGCGTCAGCGTCGGTACGTAAGACTGTGTACACCAACATGTCTGACGGTGTGTCGGGATCGATCGCCCAGATTAATTCTCTCGTCAAGATTTTCCTTGTGCCCTAATCGAAACAATGGTACGGCGATTGATTATTCCTTGTTTTATTAAAGATCAAATATTGGTAACGAATACTCCTCGTTAAAAATATCGTTAAGCGATTAATTGAAGTAAAAAAACGTAAACATCGAAATTTTGAATTCGTCTCAGTTAAATATTCGAACGTTGCAACTTTTTATGAAAAGAAGTGTTTCACTTAAGGAGATTGTAAGTTAATTGAGGGTAACTTGAATTGGTTTCATTACGACACAGCCGTCACCGCGTTCGTCCAAAGATAAACGCTCGCTGCAAATAGACTACAATTTCTCCAACTCCTCATTAATTGATTTAGATCGGTCCGAACGAAGCGAATCGTTCTTTCGCGGCAATTACGTTAACGCACGTCTTCGAGGAAGAAGGAAACATTCTGAGCATCTGACTGGGAATTCAGTGCAGCAAACGTTCGATTCTATCAATTCGTAAGGAAGAATCAATAAGGATCTTACTTGTGCTAGACGTAGCACCTTCGCAGTCGATATTTCAAGGAACGGCGGGTCATTAATGGGTGTAACGTTGACTTGAAGTGGAAACCTAAGTCGTCCTTGGAGATAACCCGGTAACGAGTAACCAGCCCCTGCCACCAGCGTCACTTCCAGGATCATGCTGTCCTCTGTGGTTTCGCTGCCGTCGTGCATATATTGTATCTGGCGAGGAATTTGATCACGATAATGAGACAACGTAGCACGTGGTAAACAATGTTTCTGGGACTTATGAATATGTATGCGACTGGAGACGACGCGTTAACACGACGACGACGACGACGACGTTCGTCGTTTACATTTATCGAGCGCAGCGACTTCCTAACTTCCGGCGAAATTAAAAGGGGAACGCGGCAAAGAACGTCGGGGCATTCGACGTTAACGAGACATTTATTTCGTCTTATTTCATGATTTATTCAGAACGTGGACCGCGTTCCGGCAAGGTGAAATTTCCAATCTTTCCCCTGAAGCAATACGATGGTCTTCTTAACGAACCAATAAACTCACTTTAATATCATGAAACTCATATCTTCTGCCGTGACCCGGTAGTTTTTAAAATTAACTTTTCTTAAGAATTCGCTTGATATTCTCGTCGGTCGATGAATCATTGCCTGCGTTAAATTCGCCGCCTGCTCGCAGTTCAAATTAATTAAAGTGGCATAGGCGTGCTTATAAATTGACGATTAGCACACGAACTCGAGGTTTTCTGTACACAGTTATTGCTTGAATTTCGACAAAAATTTTTAATAATTTTGATGAATCTATGATGACGCTCTTCCGCAATGTTTTCAGACAAAACTGTTCCGCGAACAATGTGTTACTAGCTAGGTCTGTACTAGGCATAATGGATAAGCGTTTTGGTCTGGCCTGACGTTAAACCCTGAAAAAAGCTGTTAATGAGCGGTGGTGGTGTTTTATAAATAGATCAGTGCGGCTGGATAAATCGAGTGCAAGTAGAAGAGGAACAGACAACCGAGATTCTGATGGCACGAACAGTCACGGCCCCCCCACGGTTCTAAAGTTAGTTCTTCTGCCACAAACTATCTATAGCTCGTGGCCCTATGACGAACTGGAAGAGCACACGATATGCTTCATCTTCTTATTCGAAATTTATTTGATGCCTGCCGGAACGTTGTCATTCCCCGGTGCTTATCGATCATTCAACCCCTCTCCCGTGACACCCTGATATTGGGCGAATATTTTATACGCTAGCAGAAGGATATTACCTTATCTCGATTAATGTCTTCGAGGGTGAAGGAATGCTCGGTTCTGGTCGTTAAAAGATTTAGAGCCAGGGTTCCATACGTGGGCGGTGTTACCAGAGTGAAGATAACACCATCCTCGTCTATCCCATATTTAGCGATGTCTAGCACCATGGCAATGTTATCGCTCGTTACCAGTACGTGTCCCCCTTCAGAGACCAGCAGAGAATTCACCGAGAGTATTTCCAATTGCACAGGCAAATTTGCTTTTGAGTGAACCTACGAAATATGAAATTGCGATACTGATAAACACAAGAATTCATTTCAACTATTTTACACAAATTGATACGATATCTATTTGAAAAAAAAACCACATGACGCAGACGTACTAAAAAGATTCAATAGTACTTCTTTGGTGATTCCAAGCAAAAACGGAAAGAATCGTTTTACATTTTGTATTGGAAGCAGATTGATCGCGACGATAGTCGATGTTTACCTCTTCGTGATTCGGTTTCACGCATACGGAAGCAGATTGATCGCAATCGCACTTGAACGAGCTGACGCCGAGCTGTGAGCAAGCAGCCTTGGGAACGCAGGGCTCGGTCTCGATGCAAGGAAATCCCCATACACAGCCAACGACGATGCCTTGGCTGATCTTGACGTCTGGCAGCCCGAGTTCCTTGTTGTCCAACAGCATATTTCGTAGGCAACCGCGGTAACTCACGTCGCCTGACTTGAGACTCTTGTTCAACGCCCTGGCACGTTTGTTCAGCTCGGTCCCGCCTATGTAAAGGGTGTCGGCCAGATCGAGGTAACGATTGCCACCGGAGGGTAGGTTCATCGTATTTTCTTGACGATCGACTGCGATCCCGATTCCGCTCGGATTGAAATCGACGACCACACGATGCCATTTGCCGTCCGCCACCGGTGTGCCGTGTATCAATTCGCTTGGTCCGTTCCCTTTGTTCATCAGAAGACGAATTTTACCCTCGAATAACTCGATCCCGAGGTAATCGGCGTACGACGATTGCCCGGTGTTGTAGAGTAGCAATCCAGTCCCGGTGCCAGTCTTCATCTCGAACTCCCATCTGTGAAGAAAATGGGTATATGCGAATCGGCCAAAATTGAAAGGAAGTCGTTTGGAACCTCGAGATCTCGAGACTTCGCGCGCATCGCGAATTCATCGAAGCGTCGCAGTCGATATAGACTAAAAACTCGATTATTCAAATTATATGGTAAAAATGTTAGCACATTACTTCATTTATATTATCGTTTAAATATTGATTAATAAGTTTCGAGAATATTAAATTCTCTATTATTTAATTCCCTTTTAATGAAGCTATTACGATCCACTATGAATTTCGCCGGCAATTACCTCATTAATGGGCATCAGTATGTGCTAATAGTTTTCGTATTAGATGTACAATTCTAGAATGTTGAAAGGTATAAAATTTTTGATAAAATTACATATTAATAAAGAATACAAAGTAAAGCAAGGTAATTCGTGACGAGAGGCAAAAAATGATTATATATTGATCTCATCTATTGATATTTGGATTTTCAAAAGGACGTACATTCATAAATCTCTTCAATCACACACTTTTGTGTATCTGTGTAATTCAGAATCTTCATTGTATGAATTAATTGCGGGATAAAATGTGTTTATATAAGAAAATTTTCATGTAATCGGTGTTCATATAATGGAGATTCCACCGTAGTTCATTTTTTCATTATTCGTAAACAGCTCCCTCCGGAAAGAAGGATAGCTGCTTTCGAAACGTAAAGACCACGCCGCGCCGCGTTTTGTGACGTTTTCTGCGTTTATGATAACAAGTATTGGTATGGTCGCGTATCTCCGTTTAAGCCAGGTTCTACCTTAACGTTAAAACTCCGTAACAACGTTGGCGGTGCTATTCGCAATCGAGTTAGAATTTCGCAGTTGACTTGTTTCGGTGCCGACGACTACACCCTGGTCTCTAAATGGACTTGCTAAACCGTTAAGGGAGCGCTCGGGTGAAATTTCCAGTTTCTTAACTGTTCTGCTGGAATTACCTGGCCGTTTGCATCTTTTATCGTGCGCGGAAGTTCGCCTGTTTCATGCGGAACGTGACTCCAAATTGATTTACGTCGTTGGGGAACGTATTTAACGAATACTCGAACATCCGTCATTAAAAAATTGATAAATTACCATCCCGCGGGATGGGATACGTTAATGGATTCCGCTTCGCGCTATATTGATTTACGATAAGCAGAGGGGGATGAGACACGAATTAACGGTGTTCCTAGTTCTTATTCAAATTGTTTCGGAGTGAAGTCCGGCACGGTATAGCATATTGGTACGCGATAACGAGCGACTTAGTAATCCTTCGTGCGTTGAAGCCTTTTTATCGTTAAAAAACCTCCTCGTGACGAGCGTAATTAATCTTTTAACCAAAATGAAACAGAATTCATAATTTTATTGAGCGAATTATTTTTCCATATATTTCAAAATAGTTCTTAAATCATTACATATTTTCAAGGTGCGTCTTCAGAGTTTTCGGAAAGAAATTAAACCAGTCCGTCAGTGTGATGCGACTGCGTTGTGTTCCTTGAACGATATCTAATATGTTTGAAGTTACCATTACATTTCACTTCGCTTTCGTGTGTTAAAGTAAAACGCTACGCGCTCCTCATAAAAAGAAACGGAAATCGCGCGCGGAAAAACGATACAATGGAGAATTAACTCTTTTTGTCCCACCCTGTAAAAAAGTTGTTTTATGTTAAATAATTGAAATTAATTTTTTTTATCTTTTTTATAATACAAAAGTTCTATGCAACTAGAGTTTTTATTTTCTTTAAAATCGCGTGCCTCAAAGAGTTAATGATCATTGAAATTTCGTGACGTGTAGATTATGTTATGTTAAGTGTGCTCGTTGTGATCGCAATTAACGTCTTGTTTACACATTCTCTCAGCCGGGAGTGTTTAAGAAGGGATGGGCTGGTCGGCTAAACGACGTCAATGCTTTCTTTTCCGACGGGGATGTTTGCCGTGGACGCTTCGGAGTTCATCAGAGCGTGGATGTCCAATAGACGTACAATACATCGGAGCACCCAGGAACAGGTTTGCTGGCATTGTTTCGACATCGTTACTCCGACTACGCAACAGGTACGTGCTCTCTGCGTTGATTCTATGAAGCGAGCGAGTCGAATTAAGAATCGCCACGGTTGGTGGTACGTTTTTAATTTGCGGAAACAAAGACCACCGCGTCGGTTTGACTGTACTCATTACGTACCGACAGAACCGCGAAAATTGTTGTCGAACGTGAAACGGAGTTTATCCTATCCGAGCGCATCCGCACATCCGTGTATGGATGTTGATCGAGGGAGTTCCTTAGATTTTGCTTCTGTTTATCGCCTGGATTATTATAATATTGTCATTTGTAGACTGTGGAGAAGTTTCCACAGAAGTCAAAAGAATAGAATACATTTCTGACATCGATTTAAAAAATTAAATCTATGTTCAGATTTTTCATCCTAAATATATACAATTTACGGTCTAACCATCGTCTGTTTCAATTTATGTATTTATTGTTACGCATTAACTTTCTATACTCTAAACCAGAGGTGGAGAACGTGCGGCCCCGAAGCCGCATGCGGCCTCCGTGAGTTTCTCGTGCGGCCTCCTTGTACNTCTAAATATAATGCGATTTAAAGTCCAGAAAGCAAATTACCGTTTTAGTATTTGGTTTTCTGTCCCTTTTACACACATTTGCATTTGTCCATTTGTTTGGCAATGCTTTAGTGTTCATGGCATAGTAAAGTAGATTTGTTGGTCGATTCTGATAAACGGGGCGGGATATCACGATTCAGCACTAAAATTGACTTGGAAACTAAATTTCATATTTACCCGTAGCTTAAACAAGCATAGCGGTTTGAACGTCTATCACCAATACCTATAATCACTAATAACAACTGTTTGGTCGGCGAAGTGTCAAACGCGAGAATACAGCCGTTAATAATTTTATATCAAATCGATTTACGTATTTCCCATTGTAAAATCAAATGTTTTATACTTAGTCAGGATAACTAAAATGATTTATGAAATTGGTAAACTAAGGTAAAAATACTTACTACGGACAACTGTCTCAATAATAATCGCTTTCTGAAAAAATACCATACACGGTAAAATAAAAAGCAGGTGCAGCGTATAACATTATAACAAATGTACATACATATACCTGTTTCATATTGTGAACTTACATTTTTAATGTCCCGGTTTATTGAACTGTTTAAATATGCGTTTCAAATAAAAATAAGTATCTTTCTACATATATTTCTCTGTATCGATTTATGAAACATGTGTACAAGCCTCGTTAATTGCATTTTCAACTGTACAAATATTTATTTACTTCTTTAGGCACATGAAATTTTTTAATTGAATGTGTACTTATGTACTTGTTTGTTTAGAATTTTGTTTGCCCTTTAAAGCTTTGAGAGGCAGCTCTCTCGTAGACTTTAGATCACTGGAGATTGTTAATAAGCTATGATATTCCGTCGGGAAGTAAGATCGATGAGCAATTAAATGCCGCAAATTGTCTTTCTGCTATATTTCAGCTTGTGAATATCAATTAACGCGGTTACCGACGAAAGGCTTCAAGACCATTTTCGAGACATGGTACGGATTTAGGATCGCTCTGCTCTCTCAGATACAATTTACAAGTGAAAAGGGGGTTTTAGTTCAGTCGTACATGGTACATACCTCGAGCCGGAGCGCGGTATAGGTCTGGGTATCGCCGTGAACGCGCCGTCCTCCACGAAACTGACTTCCGTACTCCTCGTAGCTTCGAATTCCGGTGAACAGCCCCAAGTAACGGCCGTGGCCTCCGACTGCCCCTTTCTCGACTTGGCGTATTCTATTACCCTAGCACTGTTGTAGATTATATCAGCCATACAGCCTCGTAAGTAGTCCGTGTGTCCTGCAACCAGAGAAATTCGAAAAATAGATAAAAGTTATTAAACAAATCATTGGAGCAATAATATTTATAAGTCAGATATTGCGTTAGCTAGTATTCATTTTTTAAATGAAAATTGACTTTCGATTGATCCAATTGAAGGTAAAAATATTGGCATACTTCCGTTTGTCATTTTGTTATCAGACATCGGTGATTTTAATTGTAGATTCCCAAGCGAATCGAGACATCAGTCCCGTGTATCCGTCAATAATGATTATATGGCGATTCATAAAGGATTCCGCGAGATCGACTACAGTCCTTAAGGGACAACACTGTAAACGGTTTTACCCAAGTCGTGTGACTTTCGAATCAGGATGCACAATTTCCATTGAACGAACCCCGATCGCGTGAAGCAAATAACGAAGCGGGCAGATATTAAATTCGATGGTCAGACGATTCTTACAATTCATCCGCGGAATACGATGTAGGTACGCGATGGCACACTTTGGCACCGGTTCGCGAGGCATCATTTAACAGCGGTGCAGATCTTCATGAAAGACTGGCGTAATGAAAGCGTCAGTTGCAAACCGCATCGGGGTTGATGGCCAGATAATCTCAGTTTCGGCGGCTGCTAGCGAACGAACCAGGCTATCGAACGCACCTACTCCTCTCTACCAACCTCCCAGTATAATTCTTCCGCGACTTTATTAATTTATTACATTGGATTCAATGCAGACAGCGTCTTTGGCCAGTAGCTTCATCCTGATTGAGTTTTCCTAATTTTTCTTTAATCCACGTTAGTCGAATAGGGAAGCCGGGCGGAATTTATTTTAGTTGATACTCGAATTGCAGATGGCAAGAGGCCGAGTTACATATTAATCCTATCTATCTGCTTATTTGATTTCTCGAAACACTCGCCTTTTTACTCTAATGTAAACTAGACATTTTAGTCTGGGAGTTGCGCAATTCAGGTACCGGGACTAGGGTGCTTCACCCGATAACAGGGGAAAGCCGGAGATATGTTTACGAACCGTCGGGTCGTGATGACATTTTCCAGCGGGATGGTGTACAAACCTCCGCAATAAACCGAGCCGTTCATAGTGCGGTAAATCGCTCATTCCGCAACCTCGCCACAGCTACCATCCTACGTGATCCCCTCGCGTGCTTCGCGATTATATTAATTAGAGAAGTTTCGAGGATGGTTTTTCCAACAGGGCGGCTGAAGATACCGCGAGCAACCGCTGAATGGACCGAGGTCACCGTGAAACGTTTAGACTCCGGTCAAACAACTACTAGAAAGGCTTTTCCGCTTATGAATGAAACCAGAATGCTTCTCCTACGATAATGAGTACGGAGAACAAACGAGGTCTCGTTTTATTCATGATTTGCAACATCGCATTTTTTCTAATCGGGCAAGTGGCTCGGAACGTATAGGATAAGTAAAAGTGCGCATCTACTTGTATAACAATTTCATACCATAGTTATTTGCATTCCCATATACACCGCCGTTAATGTCAAAAGTCTCACGTAAAATGTACAAGGTATCATTTAAGATACTAAAATTTATTGATTCCATTAAGAAGTGTTACTGGTACAATTCATAATTTATTGTATGATATTTAATGATTCACAATATACAATGTTTCAAATGAAATAGTCAATAATTTAGAATGTTTATCAGATTTCTTTATGGATAAGTGGATACGCGTCTTAATAGGAACGATTGAATGGTGAAACGGTTACGGAGTGTACGACGTGTCCTTTCGTGCGTTATATTGCAATTTTTCGTCGAGGACAGTAATATCGAGAACGTTTCGGGGGATGGAAAAGCGATTCGCGGGACGCTCGCGACCGTGAAACGGGGGAGCTATAAAATAAATAATTTCCTGTATCGTCACGTTCAAGACTGTTCAATTTATTTGGACGTAACAGTGATCGAATGTTACGCGATAGAACATTGACGCCGACATCTCCGTATATACTTTTATTGATTTTCCCGTATCGAACCTGTGTGCGTCTAGCTGGAAGTTGGGAGTATTCTCTATACGTGTTTTCACGTAGCTACGGTAGATATAGTATTCGATGAACGCAATTCATACCAACGATTTCATTCTCTATAATACGTATGTCTGCCTGATAGTTTCAATCAGAGATCAACCCTAAAATAAAAAAGAAACTCTGACGTTTGCCCTCTCCAGAGGTTAATCAGCATTATTTTTTGGCGACGCGATACACGGAAAGCAGCCTCCGCGATTTTAGAATAAGATTAACACTCCCGTCCTGCTTTCATGCATATTTCAAGCGAAACGAATGAAAAATGAATAACTGAGAGCCGTCGCACGGTTCTAAGTTTACGCAAACTGTTCTTCGTCGCGGCTCCAGGCGACTTCGTAGGATCTTTCCGCTTCTTATTAACATCCCGCACGGAAACTCCTTGCGCGAAGAAAAAAAGGAAATTTTCCGAGCGTCGACGGCACGGAAGTCTGTTCGTTTCTTTCGTCGTTCTTTATTTCCGAGTTCGGTGACTTGGGCCCGAAAGGGGGAGAGAGTCAGAGGGCTGTTGGCGCGGGGTAGCAGGAATTAATAAGAGGTTCTGGAAAAGGGAGGCACGGGTTGTGTCGTACTACCGGGTACAAATGAATTGTCATGAATATGTAAATTGAATTTCGAGCCGGTCGCCGAGCGTTGCACGAGATGCTCGCCGGAATAGAGGGGTGCACCTCACGTCACCGGTGAACTCTCTGTTTGTACCGATCGTATTCAATTTGGTACGCGTCACCTCGGTCATCTTCTGATGAATTTCTGCTTTTTTGCTCGACTTCGTGCGATTAAAATCGCGCGGTCCGACGAGGAAGCAATGAGATTAACTTTTCTTTAGAAACAAGTTATTAGTTCGTTGAAGGAATCATAGTTATAAATAAATTGGGGACAGAATTAAACATTTGCGTTTTCATCTGATAAATGTGAAGCAGATAGGAAGTAAAAATATTCTCAATTTTTTATTCATAATTCGTAATATGTTTCTCGTTGAAAATCGTGATTTCATGGGGGAATAATTTAGTCGGTCATTGGACAGTGCTCGATTTCTGGTGGTGGCTATCGGTGAAAGGGGCAGCTTCTCATCGTTGAAACCTGGCGTTTCTCGGTCAGCTGCACACCATACATCCGATTTACGATTTCACGGTTAAGATCAACGGGTTGCGCCAGGCAATACAGCCTCGATACAATTTCATCTTGTTGGTGGGAAGAGGGATCGATGATAGGAACGTCAACGGTTAGAAATTAGGTTTAGGAGGGAACGTCAGCGATCGGCCTGTTGCGGATCGGTTCTATTGGAATATTCTCTACGATAATCTTGTTCAATGACCGTTGCTGATGGTGATGGATAGAGTAAAGATGGAGTACGATGATGTGTGCCTATACTAAATAATATTTGATCGGATCGACAGCGCCGGATACAGATATACTGGCGTACTACATGAACCAGTCTTAATTTGCATATTATATATTTACTACATGTTTGATTATTAGTCTGTAGATTTTTCCTACATAAAATATTAATGGTATCAATTTAAAAAATGTACGTATGTCAACTATAGAAAAAGATGTTTTATTGCATTTACATCTCGACTGTTAGCCTCGAGGATCATACAAGGACTCGACCTGAACCGCTGGAGAATTAGAATATTATATAATGTCTTTTATTGAGATTGTTTAATCTTAAATTTAATTCATAATACAGTGGACGATGAGATAGAAGTGGATACGTACGTTTTTCTGTAACAAAATTGTAATTTGAGAAACAAAACAACGTTTCATATGCACGAACCTAATATTTTCAAGAAAATACCGTTGTACCTCCAAAATATATAAGAAGTAATTTTGTATAAAAGATTCACGATTCTGAATGAGAGATTATTTAGTGGAAATCTGACTTAGGATACTGGTACCAATTTAAGATTAACATTGTATTTCTCTTTTTAAATGGAATGTTTTATGTTTTTATACTGCAGGAAATATCATAATAATTTAAACCAATGGCTTCAACTCTGACCACTGTTGTTTCTATTGTGCAGTGAGAAAATCCGCACAATACACTGAATATTTCACTGCAGCAAAAAGACCGAATATTTGAAAAGCACGTCGGTTGTAACCTTGGTGATCGTCAGCGTGCCTCGGTCGATTTTTCTATAAGCCGTTTCCCGGTACGAAAATATAAATTTTTCACACTCTTCTGATACTTTCACAACGAAGCCTGTACTCATCTAGTCTCCACTCATCCACACCGATTAAATAGTTTTCGTTGAATCGTATCTGCGTGTAGTTTTTCCCTGTCTATTTCAATTCCCCAACGTGTCAGGCTTTATTGTCGTGGCGGGTAGTAAAAATCTACAACTGGAAATCACCGTCGGAAAACAGTTCCGCACCAGACAACGACGACGACGACGACGACGACGACGACGGTGACGGTGACGGTGCTCGTAAATTTCGATGTCGATAGGAAGTAGTCAATGGTGGCTATACGCTTTTACCGTTTCCGTTTCCCCTTTACTTATTTAACGAAGCGGAGTGAAAAGAAAATTGTTCCTAGTAGAAAACCGGAATTCGATCGCATTTAACGAGATTATATTGTTTCAGTACGTTATGCAAAGTAAAAGAATATAACGACCACGAGCTGTTCAAATGCTAGAAAAAGTTATGCGTATGCAATTGATTGAAGTGCGTTCGAAATTTTTTTCTTTGACATACATATGCATATGTACGTTCTCGATATGATCGATCACGAAACTAATAATAACATCTTAACAAGTTTAAAACCATGGAATTGTAACTATTCTGACAATGAGTTGTACTATAAAAGAATACAGTAAATGATTTAAGGTAGAAAATCGAGTATAACTTGATTTGTATGTCTATGTCTATTGCTATTTCCTGTTTGCGCGTGATGATCTAGCAAAATCAGGGCTCGAATGAAACTGTTAACATCTACAAATAAAAGTTATTTATCGAACTCTTAACTTTTAAATCAAATTAGTTCTGTTTTAAGCGAATTTTTTACATTAAAACTTTAACTCCTTTTTAAACGTTTAGTTCTAAGTTATTTTATGTTCGACTAACGAAAGTTCTGAAAGCTCGTATAAATACTTCGGAACACATTTAAAAATGAAATATAAAAGTAATAGTAATATTAAAAAATAGGAATATCTTTTTAATTAGAATTAGTTAAGGAATTGAAAGCAGGATAAATACATGTACATATATAGAAGAGAAAACACTATAAACACTTATATATATGTAATTAAATTTGATTTTCACTTGAAAGTCGTACCAAAAATTTTTCAGGAAATCTGTAACAGCTTGCAGTTTTTCAGAATAAAATAAATGCTTCTGTTCATGTAATGTACGACTTGTTTCTATTATAAAGGTTCTCATTTACGCACAAGTATATGATATCATATATCAAATACATTCTATCTAATACATTCAATTTTGTAATAGTTTCTTCTGAATAAGACAGATAATAGTCTTATAGCTAAATGAAAATTTTGACAGTTTGATTCAAGACTTAATCAAAGTCGACGCGAATTTAAGAGTTCATTTTTAACGGAGTCACGTGGCGGGACGGTGTAGTCTAGTGACTCAAACTCGTCGGTATGACTTACCTAGAAATAGCTCGTTGAAGTCACCCTGTCCTCCGATATAGACACCGTAATGTATGTTCAGTTCGAAGAACCGTCCCGGCAGTAGGGATTTGGTCGTGTGTATCACGTCAATCTGTAACGTCATGTTCGCATCCCTTCTGGTCAGGTTCACCTCGTGCCAGTTAAGGTCGTTCAGTGTCAAACCACGAGCGCTTGCCATTTCGCTTTCACCCGCTCCCAAATTTATGTGAACCTGTGGTAAAAAAAAGAAAGAAAAATGATGATGGTAGAGAAAGAAATCTATATTAAAGTTTCTCTCATACTTCTCTCAGATAGGGTAGTACGAAATTTTGCATGCAATTGCGATATTTTATTTATAAAGGAAACGAAGTGGCCATGAAAAGATGATCAAACTAGCAAAAAAATACTGGTATCGATTAATTAAATTCATTAGTATACAAAAGTACACTTCAAATATTTTTTAGTTCAAATGAAAGCAATAGTTTGCATACAATTGCGGCTATATTTTATTTAAGAAGGGAATAAAGTGGTCAGGGAAAGATTCGGGCATCGGGCAGTTACTTCAGTTGGGATCGAGTCATATCTCTTGAAATTTATTTGGCAACTCTACAGGCTAAGAGAGACTCTGACGATTCGACATCTCATTTTTCATTCTCCATTCTCACATTATTTTCGGTTCATGCATAGGAAGCGTTAAACGGCTCTCTTGAAACGCATTAAATATTGATGTCCTTCAGATTGCTATCGATTGCTCGTTTATCAACCGCTTCTTTTGACTACGTAGCCCATAATCGGATTCTTGAAAACTATTCTCCGCGAGTTTCTGAAAAGCGACGCTCGAGGGACACGTACACGCATACGTACGTATTTGCACAAGCGTCTCACCGCCTGGAAATAATTCATAAAGAATGCCGAGGAACAGGCAATGCAGTTCAATGTATAATTCTTCGCTTACTTAAAAATTTGCACCTTAGAAAAGTTGAGCCGGAATTTTAACTGAATTAAAATAAACATTAGCATATATCTAAGGTAGAATTCGTCTAAAAAACCGTAGAGAATATTCGTCTGGCGTAAAGAAAAAAAGAACGAAGAGATGGACAGTGTTCGCGATAATCCAGTTACCGTTAAAAAGAAGCAGTTGACATAGTAGCCAGTGCATTTTATTAATCCAAAGTTCTGACCCTTTCTCGTGGAGAGGGGTCTTTTCTGCGGCGCCGCAAATAGCCAGGGATTACGCGCGCGCGGCTCTTTTTTATTTTCCCTTCATTTTGTGGCGTCTTGGGTTGCTGTTTAGAAGACCAAGAGAAGTTCAAGTAATACATTATCGAATTAGGCCGATACATGCCACGTCTTACTGAGAGACGAAGCGGCAGGTCTCTGATAAAGAGTCTTTAATCGTGACCTAAATCGACCGTCCGTGACTTATAGCCAACGTTTTCGTGCACCTTACAGTCAGAGAAATACGAGGTTGTACGATAGATCTATTAAATTGTATCTAAGCCCTAGCTCGAATCGAGAACTTGAAAAATCACTGTCCCAAAACAATTTTACAATCTTGATATTCCTCGACTCTACTATACTTTTAATGATCGTCTCTATACCTTTGATTTTGTCCGACATGATCACATCAAAGTAGTTAAGATTGAAAATCCAGCACCTTAATGGAAAGTCGATCATTTGCAGAGGTGACAACTGTTCTAAATTACGAGGATAGCTAGAACTTGAATTGGCATCTCTTCTCGTCTCAGGATCGATTTCGCAATAAAAGCTTGAGCTTTTGCGAGTTGCAAGTTCGGCCCCGGTAGGATAGTAGCGCGCGATGTCCGATGACTATGCAGAACCCCATTAATATGTATAAGCGCGGGAGACACGACACTTTGTCGAGTGTAAACGCGAATCTATACGTTTCGAAGGTCGAAGGGACCACGCCACGAGAATAGCTGAATTATCGATGCACCAGTAGTGATTGGAAAGCGAACATTGATAAATATTCGACCGATCGATTACAATGACGAGATTGTTCTTCCCCTTTTTCGTATAAGAACAAAGCGACTTCTTTCACCAAAATTCGATTAAATCGATAAAACGCGATATTATTTCTTAACTTTTTTGTGTACAATGATTTTATAACGCTGTAAGGATGTAAAAGCAAACAGATCCCAAGAAATAAAGAAGAGAGAAGAAATTTGTATTGCAGTGTTTTAAAAACTGATATAAGCTTGCACAGGGTTCTCTAAAAAATTATATATTCCATGTGTGAACAAGTACTGAGACCGAAACGAATCTATTGTACTTCTTACCCGACCATTTATCCCTATCTCATCCTTCTTAACGATCTCCTTAACAAATTTAATTAAGCTCAGACGCCACCTACTCGTCTTCTCACGCTTCGGTTTGTGGACTTAGCCATTCGCAGAATTAGATTCGCGGATCTTCTCTAGATCCATCGGGGAACGTCGCTCTCTCTGATTTAGATCCGTACTCCAAGCTCATAGTGATATTGGATTACGCTAATCGGGTTGCATTGAAATAACTGATATTTTCATTATCTCGTTGAAATCGATTCGTTTGGAGAACAGAAAACAGTATTTGATGAAAATATTGTCGGTGATTTCAAGATAAATTGAAAACGTTTAAATTTCTTTGATAGAAGGAATTCGCGTATAACGCGTATCATAAATCATGGAGAGAACGTCAGTATCGAAAGGAATTGTAATTTGTCTTGGTTTGCCGAAGATTTAAAGGGATTCCGGAAGAAAACTGCTTCCGTGATGTTCTAAATTTTTAGTTGAATTAGATCAATTCGTTTCCGGATTCTTGCTCTGCCCAGCTGAATAGGCTGATTGGTCTGCAATTTTGTGGATTTATTCGAATTTCCAGAGACTTGGGATTTTATGGTTTTTTGTCGGTTGCCGAATCAGATAAAAATAGAGCAATGGGAATCTTTGATATCTAAAACATTGTTACTACATGAAAAAATAATTTATACAGTTTTCGTTGAATTAATTCTCTAGAGATTATTTACATCTTTTCAATTAATCAGAACATGTGCAATTATTATATTCGTTAATCACGCAGGCTCGTATTTCTTATCTGTGTTATCTTGATCATGTCATCATTAATTAGTGTTTGAAAGCATCGGCAAACGACGTGAGGCGTGAAACACCCAGCTAATCTCGCGCTAATAGAAATTAATGCCGGGATAGCTGTAAAGCGTTCAATCATAAAAGCTTACGCGTCACCGATTCAAAGGATACGAACCCCTTACCCCTTGAAGAATATTAATGCCCGGAGGCCCAAGATAACAATAATGGCTGACTAGGCGATTAATGGCGAAGTCTCTCGGTAAATGTTTTACGGGCTCGCATTTATTCGCACTTAACATGCGGGTTTGTCCTTCCATAAACGTTCCCGTCAGATATAATACATTTTAATTAAGCGTAATAAGCGCCTGTTCTACGGTATGACCGACGGATGCTTAATTTTCGAAATGTATTTATTTAACTACGCTGAGTTTATTTAACGAATGAAGTATAATTTTAGCACGTTATCATTTTACTCGATCATGATCAAATTAAAAATTTTATATGGTTTATTACGATTTCCATTGACCTACAAAAATTCGAAGCTTATATTATGGTTTTAAGGTTTAGTTTTACATTATATTTTTTTTCATACATTTTTTTCTTCTGTTTGCTATTATTTTTTGCACCGGATATTAACTGAATGTTGTCTAATACATTTATTTACTAAAGATGTCGAAAGAGTGCATCAATTGCATTTTAAAGGATCGTCAGTTTCCCGGGGCGGGATTAATCGTTACGAAGTAGCTCGCGTATCCCGTCGTGATTCTTCTCACGGAATGGTAATTTGTAACCGGAGCCCGACGACGATTATTACCTAAGAGTAAAGTAGCCCTTCTGGGCTTCGTCGTCCCCGGTGCGTCGTTGTTCTTCGGTAATGCAAACCGGGCTAACGCGTTCTAGCCGTGGCCGTTTAATTCCGCTACAACGAGTATTCGTTTCGGTGCCAGCGATCGTTAATAACCATGCCGGTTAATGCGCTCACACCAAGGAACCCGCGGCTGTGAAACTTGTTCCGTGTGCAGTCGTCTCTCTCTCTCTCTGTCTCTCTTCCTCCCGTCTTCTCCCTTTTCAGTTCAAAGCGCTGCTTTTTTTCACCCGGTTCCGTCGAAACGAAACGGAAGAGAAGAGTGGAACACCGTCGGCAGACTGCGGATATCGAGATCGATATATCGCGACGGAGAGTTTGCTGCCCGTCGCACCGAACGGTAGAAGTTACGATAAGCAGACTGACGTTACTTATTCTTTTGTTGCGAATGTTATACGATTTAATTATTACCAAAAATATTATGATTATTTCGTTTATTTCGTTTTATTTCGGCTTGCAGTATAACTTCGACAATTTTTAACAACAACTTTTTACATACATTCCTCGAAGAAGTACGTAAAGGTTTTTTGATTTATCAAGTACCTTTTATTTTTTGAACAGTTTTATAACAACTTTTATAATCATAAATTGTTAATGTCAAACTCTTGTCATTCTTCAGAAAACCATTATTTTTAAAATGTCCTCTCATTTTTATTCATCATTTCAGTGCCGCTATCGTAGCTATACATCTTAATTCTATTGCAATCATTGTTGAATTTGTTATTTATTATTCTGTTGCACATCTACAGATAGATCCTATGCTCGTTACAAAATAGATAAGTTTGTTAAAAATTTGGTTTCAATCGAGGTTCAGCGACGATTCTGTGAGCATGAATATTTTTCACGGCTATTTACAGGGTAGAAAGGTACGATTCAACGTGCGTTCCAAACGAAATATATTACGATGTTTTATTTTACGTGGTGCGCGCAGCGCGACGCGTATGAAAGTTAAATTCGAACGCGCGTCATGTTTAATTCAATTAAAAAAAATATTCCGGCAACGGGCGCGGAACAGTGAATGGGCGTTGTTATATTTTTTGAGAATCGAGCGACGAAAATTGCTTGTCGTGAAATATCGATCGACAGCTCGTAATGTCCGTGTCGTTTGTTTCACCTGCCTATAAAACGATCGTTTTCGACGGAGGTAATGGCTACGTGACAGACTATTAAAGAGAATAAGATCGAAACTTTCCTTGAGCGCCGAAAAATCTTTGAACATAAATATGGCAGTCAATTATTTTATAACAAATGTTTTAAACGTTGGAAGCTCATTATTAGCTTAACGCTTTCGCTCTTCGTCAGTTTGCCTTGTCCATTTACGGTAAAGGGAACTTAACGCTGTGCGAGAATTGATTAAATAAAATCAAAGGGCGATGCGGATTTTACGATGTCTCGTTTCAGTGAATTTCACGATTGGTTTTCACGAGGGGAGAAAAATTGACTCTTGGTTTTCTTCTCCGTACATACAAATTTTATTTTTCTGTGAGCGAAATGAAACGCGTTCTGATCTACCGCCGCCACAGCCTGCTTCACTATCGTTTGCGTGTTCCTCACGAGCAACGACGCACATAAAGAAGATGCTTTTACTCCTGCAGTTTTAATGCCTCCGTGAATGCCTCGAATAAAACAGCGCAACACCGTGATGCTGTTAGACTCAGAGCACGTTTTTCATCGAAGTTATGAAACTAGCCCGCGAAGTGTGGAAATCGTTTATTTCAACGATTTTCAGTTTTTTCTTACGTGAACTTTAAATGCATTTTGCCGATAATTAGAGATGTTGCATTTATAATATTTTTATACTAACGAAAGATCAAGTTACTGATCCATCCTTTTCCTTCTAATTTCACGGCATCCACAGTCACGTGCATTAACTGCGTTTTCTCCCATCTCTTTTTCTCTCCTTTTCTTTATGTATCAAAGCGAGCCTAATTTCTTAGCAAGGACGGCAGAGAAAGCGAAAATAGGAGGGAGTACAGAGAGATTGAAGCTGACTGTCGCGACGAACTGGTAGCACGTGCGGTTGGTTAACGACCAACGAGCTCTCCCAAACAGAAACCCTATTAATAGAAGTAAGCATTGAGGGCAAACGAACCTTCAATCTGCCGGCTTCGAGTTTGATCAGGCAGTAATCCGTCTTGCCAGCGGCCAATAGCAGCATAGCATCCGCGAGATGAGTTCGGAACCGGAAGCTGATGTCAGTGGCACTCTTGGCTTCTTGAACCGGAAGATGAATGTAGCTAGCACCGTAGAACGACACTGTAATAAATTTAAAAAATTTATTGTCGCGTCGAGTAATAGTAGAAATAGCATGCATAGATAGATACATATATGTGTATATGGTCTGTATAAAATATTCTCGCATTTGTCGTTCCTCAGGCTTAACTTAATGATCATTAAACTAGTATTTTTTGCAAATGATAAAAAATAATAGCATGCACAGATAAATTCTGTAAGAGATGTATCCCTGCATTCGTTATTCCTTAGGCTTAATTTAATGATCATTAAACTAGTATTTCTTACGAATAATGATAAAAAGTAATAAGTACTTTCTACTACAGTAGATATACAAATCATATTGTAATAATAAAATACGAGAACGTAACTAACGATCACAAACGAATGTTGCTGGCATTGTGAGAGATGAATGTTCTTTGATAAAACCATCAACATTTTAATGATTATTCACAATTTAATATATGACACTCGTTAGATAATTGGAAACAACGAATATGATAATATGAATGATAAGAAATACTAATTCGTTTACGTTGGAAATGTTTCGGCGATTTGATTGATCGAAATCGGAATTTTTAAATTTCTGACTTTTCCTCCTGTATTTCTTTTTATCCTAATTTATTAAGAAAACTTGTCGCTGCGCAAGAAAAATTATGTTACTCTGGGATTGTGGACTACCCCGTAGCATCGTTTCGGGACTGATACGTGCATGCGAATTTCTCTGGTAAAATTTGATAAATGAATATAAGACGATGTGTGTATACAGTTAAAACCTTTGTAAATGATTCGTGGCGAGCGAGAAAGACGGACGCGTGGCTATATACACACATGTATGTGCATGCACTATAATGACGATTCCGCGTGTCTCATAAAGTTTGCAAGCTCGTTGCCTTGTTTACCCGGCGAGCTTAAGCGCGTGCAGGTTTTACTCTCAGGCCACGTACATTTTTATATAATTTATTGTTCATAACGAAGGCAACGTGTACGCACGCTTTCGCATTATTTATTACTCACCTACCGGTAAATAAAAAGGACCCGCGGGTGTCTCGTATTTATAAAATATCAAACACTCATCCGTGTGCCGCGTCGTGCGACGTCAATGTACAAAATGAACTTTTACCGTTTTAATTTACGGTATTCCGTGCAGAATTTCGTTTGGAAATATCGCAGATTTCATGAGGACAGCGGGGGAAAAAAGTATACGGTTTGATAAATAAACGAGTGACCCGGACAGAATTTAATTGATGCTCTGTCGATCGTTATAAAGGGCACGACTACAATATTTTCCACTGCCAAACCATGTCCCAAACGAATCGAAACGCGGAAAAAGGGATGAGCGGAATAAAACGAGAATAAAAAAAGAAGGAGAGAAGGTAACATAGAGGAGGATTGAAAAGCTCGCTAAGGCCAATGAATGGGCGACTTCAACTCCTTCAAACGACCGTGGAAGATCTTGCGAATCTAGTTGGTAGTACTACCGAGAAATCGGATGTGCAAAGAGTTTATTTCCCAGCGGTGTGTGTAAATGATCTAAGAAACTGTTCGGGTACGTAGAATAACCGCACGGGTCATTAAATACGAAGAATCCTCTTTTTCTCTACTCTCGAGTTCCGCCCACCCTTCAGTTTTCTCTCCTTTTTTTCGCTTCCCTCTTCTCTTTTTTTGTTTCGCCGATATGGACCATCATAGAAATGCCGCACAGAAATATTAACGGCGATCGTGGATCGATCGAATCGATTCCATCTCATAGTGTGTCCAATACGAGCACTGAACTGCTGTTCAACCACTATTCATGGAGTTAATCGACTTGTATTACCGCGCGAATTGTAACATTTGCGTATGAATATATTCATGCACGTTTCTATACAAGATTAAATGTACTATGCGTACGAAAAACATCTAGATACATCGTACATTTATTTGATGTTTAATCCTTCAATGATTAAAGTTAGCTACTTTATTCATATAATTCAGTTTTTTCCAGCTTATGCAGCTGTGGAAATTTTTGATCAATTGACTTTCATTCAAACTACGAGAGATCAACAACGAAAATGTAACTGACATTATACGCTTTTCATTACTTTAACTTCATATTTAGTCCGTGAAATACGATACGAGTACCTTTTGTATTCACTATATACTCGCGGATTGTCTAGAATGATCTAAAATATATCCAAGGCACACCACGGAACGATTTCATCGCGTGCCTATAATCCGTGCTCATAGATTTTCACCTCGGTTTTTTCATTCGCGATTCATTATTCTCACCGTCTCTGTTTATCTGTACAAGTCGAGGCCCAGAAATAACGAGGTCGAGGTACTTATCCACTTACAAGCAGGTTTTCTACTATCGGAAATGTTCATCGGTCGCTAATTACCGAGATAATAGAGCCAAATCGGGTGGCTTCGGGGTAGCCGCGTTTCTCGAACTAGTTCTGACCAATGAATGCTGTTCTTAACGACGTCAAGTGTTTCATGGAATTTTATACACTAACTTTTGGCTGTCTCTAGTGCATAACTTACATGTCATTTTTGTATCGTACCATTCTGTATCATTATTAGACATCACAATTGCGTGTCATCGTTACGTTCATATAATAAATGTGTATAACAACAAAAACAAGCAGTATATCAGTAACATTGAGATCTTGAACACAGTATTACAAAAACATAACAATAAAATAAAGATATTTCTTTTTTTGCGAATGAAAAGTACATCTTATACATAGAATTACATAATCAGATAGTAAATTGAAAAAATATCAATGTAGAGTATCTTGGAAGTGGTCATGAAGCTTGCATCTAACGACATGCCCAATTTTATTTAATTATGTTTAATTATAATATGAATTATGCTGAAATGCAAGAATACATGAATTCAATAACCTCTAGTGCAATGAATTGTTTCATACGAATATTCTTATTCACTGTGTCTCTCGACTGCTTCGTAACCAATTGAGACGTTCTAAGAACGAATAAATGAAAATATGATCTGCATAATCAACACTTAAATCGCAAATGTTGGCAGAGCTCGTAAATCATTCCAAAACAATTTATTATTTCGTCAAACCGTTAAACTGTTGAAACTAGTTTTGAACAAAATGTTTCAGTGCGTATACGGTCGACGCATAACTCGCGTATCGCGGATAGTAAAACATTCAGCGCGGCGCGTGTTTTTCTTTTCGCTGAAGTAATCTCGTCTTGAACTCGGGACTGCGTACGAGTATGAGAAGAGACAAGAGAGGAGAAAATATGCGAAACGTCTTCCAGACGTTGTATGTCTCGTTCGCGGAATTCAATTTATTCCGCGATGCACCTGTCGGTTGAAATTTTCGACTCGACTGTAGAGTCACCGAGGTATAAAGATTAACTGGATGAATGCGAAAATGATCGCGATGACATCGTTATCCTTCCATTGTTTCCTATGTCGACGGATAGATAATATAGGTATTGTTTTTTCTCCGTTAGGATTACGCGAAACGAGAGGGATTAAGACGACTATACTGAAATCGACGCGTAAAATTTGCACACAGATCGGAATGGAGGTTTCAGCTTTTCGCCGGCTGATCGGCCGTTAAGCTGCCCATCGAATTTAATTAACAAAATCTGTCAATACGTGACATTTTGTGCCGAAAGCTGACTAGCTGATACTATGATACCGGAAAAAGGGCGCTCTTGAATTGCCTGCTCCGCGCGCAAGCTGTAGCATTAATTTACGGGCGAAATGATGGATTAGAGAAATGGGACGCGCGAGATAAACAGGAACTCGATTATACTCGTGTTGCTATTACCACTACCATTATGATATTTCGGCGTTCGATTCGCTCGTTATACAGAAGCGCGAGACCGGGAATTATATATACGTTTTAATACGTACAAAATTGATGCGGATAAATATCGAAGGTACTCCGCCTCCGCTTACTACGTAAAACAGCAGAGGAGAAATTGTTTTTGCCTCGAGTACCGGCCGAAAGTTTTCTATCTCGTATAATTCGATCGTTGGCGTTCGATATATCCCGCTAAACGATGGATTAGCCAGTTAAATGAAAAACTGATTACACCGCGTCGAGGTCGATAGACGAACCATCCCGTATTCTCCTCCCTGTCTCTTCTCCACGTTCATACCAGCGGCACACGTCGAAGCTAGAATTTTGATGTTCGATCAAAGTCACGAACCTAGTAGATAAAGTGCACTTTATAGAAAATTGATAGTCTCTCTCTCACAGGTGTCGATGGTTAGGAAAGTAAACTCGATGCACGCACTGCTATGTATAGGGTGTCACCGATTTCGTGGTAGATGTTAGTATTGAATGGTGCGTACGCTTTTATATACATATGTATATGATCTTACTTTATGTTTGAAGCATACGATTGTGCTTTTCCAATTACCGCATCGATCATCGACCGATCATACCCGTTCTAAAGTGCCTATCCACTTGTTAACATATCCTCGTATTGTACTGTGAGACGGCAAGCGTTGTATTTCTTTTTTATGTGACAGTAAAAAACAATTGGAAGATTCTACTAAATCACTAAATGAATATAGTCGTAATCATATGACAAATCATACATTAAATCATGAATTGTACCAATGTACTTCTTTAGTTCAGAGAGCAGAAACGATTTTTACAATAATCTCAATGAAAAATGAGCATTCTTTAATGTTGTCAATTTTTTGTACTGGCATTTTATATCGTAAAAATCTGAAATATTACTTTGACACATAATCCACTGATTGGAATTACTTGAGATATTGCGTACATATTAATCTGATGAAATAAAAGAAAGTGGATATAAAATGATAGTTTTTAAATACGTTATCGTCAAACATCATCATCAAATGTTTTAAAATACGTCATCGTCAAACATCATCATCAAAATCATGATCAGATTTATGAACAGCGATATAGTATATGATATGCGAGTAACGATGATGATGTGCACTGACGATACACAAGGATGATACAATAAAAGGATATGATACAAGTGGTCACCCAGTTGTGGTTAGTTTCACTCTTTTTCTACGTGGTCCATCACAGTCTTATTGAGGTGGAAAATCGCGATTCAACGCCCGCACTCTCGCCGAGTTTCTTTTTTATTCTCCCCCTTTACCGTTAAAAGGAATTTATAAATTGCTGTATTCGTTTGTCCACGTAACGGGTCGTTAAATCCGAATTCGATCCAGTGCTAGATGAAATGGGAAGACGATATCGCGTGGGAGGGTAAATTGGAGCGGGAGCCCGACCGCGGAATCGCGAGTCGGCATCGCGGCAATTACAGATGATCGAAAACGCATCTGCTCTTGTCATGCTTTTGCATCCTGCAACCACGTCATGGTATTTCATTCGAGTGTGCAGATCCTGTGAATCTATGTGGATTGAAAAAGAATGTCTATGAAACTATGATTTGTGAATATAAAGGTTAGTGAAACCAATTTGAAAAGAAGAAATTATCCTGTGAGTTCTCAATTATTTATAACGCTCGCTGCACGTTTATCTCCAAAGAAAATAAGCGCTAATCACTAAACAAAAGTTCGGTGACCTCTTTCGAGTCAAATATTGATTGACAGTCAAGCATTTTAGAATCTGAATTTGGTTTGTCAAAAATTGTTTTGATTTTCCGTCTGTATACTACATCATTTTCATCTCCTCTACATTTTCGTTTGGTAGAAAACTTAAAAAAATAATAGCTACAATTTAGCGATGAAAAGTATTGAATAATTTAGACATTTTGAAGTGTATTCAAGAATTACTAAAACATAAAATCGAAAAACGATCTAATAAGAAGGAAGTTGCGGGCCGAGACTTAAATACGTATATATGTGTCTTAAATTTTAAGATGGTCTCCGTTTGTTTGAACGAAATTGACCGGATGCATAAGTTGACATGGGGCACTCCGCATGTGTACCTTCTACCTTCGATTCATTTCTGTTGTTCATCATCGGACGACCCAGCTAATTTTGTAATTAACTGTTCCATATTTACTACTTCGTTTGCTTTAGTAAGGGAGTTACGCTGCTCGATATATGTATAACCTGCTTTTAGTCTCGGGGATTGATGAGTCTAATTAAAAACGGGTAGATTCTGTGCAGAACCTCTCCGCTGCCATTGTTCATTCGCTTCTTCCTCGATGCGTTCAGCCAACAATTACTTAATTATCCACTGTCCAAATGAACATTTACCCGCGGGCGACACGCGAGAAAAGAATTCAGTTCCTTTAAAAATTCATTAATTCGTTCCAATTTTACTTCCAAACAAATTTTGTCACTTGTGTTAGTCGAAATGATATTAGAAAATAACAGCGGTATTAAGTACTTGTAGTTGGTTACTATTTTAGATTTTTATACACCATGCAACTTTGTAATGTCAATTTAGAAAATGAAAAAAACAGGAATTTGTTTTACTGTTTAAAAATAATGATATACATTTCAGTTTTTATCTTATATCTTTACATATTATTATGCATCTTTTGTATTTTTCAATAAATGCATAAAATCCGCAGTCTAATAATTACGTACCAGCAAGTTATATACCATAAAGTTACAAACTGTGCAATCACCTCACATCTTATTCTACTACGCTTTCAACTCTTCGCTTAGTTCCTAGTAACAATCATTCCCATTATTGGCAAATAAAACGCGATGTAACATCAACGATTGTTCGCATTTAACGTGTTCGCGTCGTTCAAGAAATCCACAGACATCGTCGCCGGAATCCTTGGATTATTGGATCGAGCGGTTACGATACGACTAAGCGATAAGTTGTATTATCCCGTTTTATGACCAGCTCGTTTTCGTCGGTTATTAAAACCGCGATCTAGCAGATCACAGAACCATTGAAAAGGGTGACCGAACATTGTCGTAAGTAAGCGTGCACTAGCGAGCGTCCATTCGTTTGGCTGATCATAAAAGTTAATCTCTGTCGGTGCTTGCCGGTTTTCTGCCGATGGAATTTACGCGACGAGTAGCGAAAGCTGAAATTCGCGTTTCTTTCGTCACCGTCCAACGGATGCATATACGTTACCTTTTTCATCCGTTTGGCAGTAGCCCAAAAGGGAGGCTGTTACTGCTAAGAACATTAGCAGCCCCATATCGTTGAGGAACATTAGGCTCCCTTCTTCGGACGTTTTCTTTTTTTCTTCACGAAACTTGAAGTTTGACTCCACGCGAAGATTCTTCGACTTTCGTTGTCCTCGAGCGTAGGGTACAGGAAGAAGTTTGCGCGCGCGAAAATACCGACTAGGGTGATATCGTCACTTAAAGGGGATATCGGTTTCGCGTGACGGGAATTACGAGGGTGCGATTCGCGGCTCGGTCAGGACGGGGAACGTACTTTTCCCATCCATTTTACGGCGTCCTTCGTCACGCGCACTGAGTTTTAACGGGGGTTAAACAAGTCGCTCGATTCCGGCTACGTTTTCGATAGAGTAAAGCCGATCGCGTCTTGTCGTTCCGTTCCCGCTCGTTGCCACGCGTTTTAGTCAACACTCACCACCGAACACCTCCGCCGAGTCGTGTCGTTCTCGTTTCTATTTTCGTGCACGAATCAGAAGACGACGTTAGGCCGTAACAACGCGGAAACGATGGCCGCGGCCCGTCTCGTATAAAAGTGTAAAATTGAACGTTGATCCCGTGGGTAACAGTCCGTCGACGACGTTCCTTGCCGTGTTCTACTCTTTGACACGGTTCTGGCGGGCATCGTGCACGTACGATCTTCGTTTCCTGCGGCCTGGTTCGTTTCTGAAAGGATACCGGTACTGCAAAACGACGCACGCCCACCACCCACGCTCTCTTGCACGGTTTAATCAGTGGGAACAGGTTTTCGGGGTATCGCGCGATTCGTATCGTACGACCTAGTCTGCTCATGACGATTCGCTACTTATGCATGAGACACTTCAGAGTTGAAGCTGTCTTTTATTTCGTTCGAAACTGATATCATTCCTGCCACGAGCTGATTTATTAATAAAAGTTTAACCGTCCATATTTTCGTTCATTTATGGCGTAGGAAATTATAACTATACGTATGTTGGTTTGAGATATTATAATGATCACATTATTTCTTATCGGTTTTTTTTATTGAAGAAATCTTTAAGGATTAAAGTTAAAGACAGTAAAAGTTTTATCGAGGCTTAATTTTATCGAACGTTTGTTAGATTGGTGTACGCGAAACGTCATACACACTTAAAAAAATGTAATGTTTTTGCCATAAATCTTGTTGACAACCAAATTATTTTATTTTCAATCTAATATAATAATAGTGAACAAAGAAAGAAAATATAATATTGTATAAATAGAATAACATTTCATATACATGTACCATTCTAATATATTCGCAATAGTCGATTCAACAGAAATGTATCTTCTAGATTTATTTTTTTTCTCGAAAGGAACGAAAGATCGAAGCTCTTACGGTGGCTTTTGAAGTTCACGGGAGCATCTAATTCATTGTCATCGGTCGAGTAGCAAATCGCGTATTTGGCAGTGGGAGCCACGATGCCATCGCTACCGGAATTTCATCTCTCGCGAAGGAATGCGTTCGCGATGCCTCGTTTTTCCTTTCCTGTCACATTTCCTTTTTTCTTGCACGTATCGAAATGATTCCAGTGCACCGGCCCGCGAAACTGTAAGAAGGGACCTCCTATTATGCCACAGAGGAAAAGTAACAATCGCGCTAGCTTTTTCAAGGTTTATTTGCATCGAATCTGTTAAAAAAATCTGAAGCTATTTTCCACCGAAAACCTGTAACTTTGAGCGGGATTTCTTTCTAATCGATTCTGATTCCATCGAACAGCGAGAGAAAAAGGATTTCCACGGCTGGTAATATAAATATTTAAATAAACCAGTTAGTTCAAGGCTCGCCACCCTCTTCCGTGCGGTTCTCTCTCTCTCTCTTTTTTCCACTACCGTTCGGTTTACTTTCGGGTCGTTGAAGGGTTTTTCGCGACAAGACCAGTGAAAGAAGAAAGCGCGGATCAGACCCACCGCACCACGGCCACGTTTCGTTTTCTACGAATCTTATTTACAGTGACCGACATTCGACACGGTCGACGATTCTCGAGCTACTGGGCAAAAAATGAGCAGAGAGGTTGGATCGACGTGGCACCCGAGCCATATTTCTCTCGCTTGTTCCCCCTTTTCCCTACGCCACCCCTTCTTGTACTCCTCGTTTCGTTCCGACACAACGCCTAACGCTAGAACAAAAAAAAAGGAGAGTGGCCGGTATTCCTATTCAACCCGGAAAGAGTCGAGTACAACGGGAAAGCTATCGCTCCTCTGTGCTCGCTCGTCCCACAGATACCAATATTCACCCTCGCGCGAACGAATAGCGGCGTGAACACGCGCGGAAACGGGGTTCGACGAACGGCGGAACAAGAGAATAGGAATGCACGTTGTGGTCATTCAGGTTTTCACCAGGAAATTCTCTATTCCCGTGAATTTTCTTTCGGACGCGATGTATAAATATTTCACAGAGATCGCATAGATACGCGAGAACACAGGCAAGCGCATTTATCGCACGCGGAGCGAGATCATTGCTGATTTTTACGGAGTCCATCTATCCTCTGTACTTTGAGAAGATAAACGCTCCCTGGGAAACCTTAAACCGAGATAAGGAAATATACGCGATATCTTCGAAAAGTCGTAAAGTCCCGTGGATTTCCATAATGCAAAGCTGTCCGATTTATACGTATACGTATACCCGTGTGTACGTACGTATGTACGTAACTTCCTTTTTTTATCGGAATAGCTGCACCCTGAAACCGAGTTCCGGTATCGGAGAATCGGTAATGTTTATAGCGTATTTACGTTTCCCCGGCGCCACGGAAAGGGAACGAGAGGGGATGCTGATACCGCTTCCATCTAATGTAACAAGCTTTCAAACGATACACGTACACGCACGGCTACATCCGCGCGCGAACCTACCACGTAGTTGGCCCGTCTGGTGAGAAGATAGACTCTCCTTCGGCTTCTTCCCAGCTTCGCAGAAGAGGACACGTGATAGTCTATGAAAGTGTTCGTCGCGTTCGCGTAATCGATCACGTTGTCCCGTCTAATCGAACTTTTACCAACTATCTACCAGGATTGAGACTTTTAAGCTTTCACGATCCGGTTCCATGCGCTTATTATTACTTGGGACTTTGGAAAGGGCCGTTATCCTGGCGCGACAGCCTTGCTAGCTTCTTCGAGGGGCGAAGGTAGATATACTGAAATTACTTTTTGGGAATGGGAACTTCGGGAAAGGGAACAATCTTCTCGTTTAATATAAACGTGCCCATTTCCCGAACAAGTTGTATAGCCGGCGGGCATTTTGCCGGGTACGGCAAGAATTCTCTCGTTGTGAAAGGGATTGAAATACCGATTTTCGGAGACGATCAACGTCCAACCTTTGTCCGAGGCGAAAAATGCCTACGAGGTACGATTGTCATCTGCGGGGCTCGCGATATCTCGGCGAGACTCGTTGCGAGCATAAATCATGAGCGACATAAATATTGGTTCTGTTCCATTCTCACGTAGAGGCATCATTCACGACTTTTTTCGCTTGGAAACGATTCAGGAAGTTTCGAGTCGAGCGTCGGCGAACGCTTGTCGAAGAACGGCAATTTCTTACTGTCATCGTGAACCACGCGATAGCCCCCCGCGACTGCCCGTTATCCTTGTCATACGTACATACATGTGTGAACGTGCATTGAATCGCGGAACACGAGTCGAGAGAGTCGTGGGACCCGGCTCGCAACTCGGTCGGAATATGTACCCAATTTTTTGTGTCAGCGTTTAAAGTGCGTTTAGAAGAGCTTGCAAGAACTTTCTGCGAGAGCGAAGTAATTAATCAGTGTGACGTTTAGAGTGCACGATAATCGAGAAGACTATTTCTATATTCATTCAAGTAAAAATAGAACTTTTGGATCCTTTCTTTATCGAGCAATATTTTAAACTTGAACCGAAGACAAACATTTTTTGAGCACTTGATGAAAACATTTGTGGATTTTCTAAAGACAGCGTCGATGCATACATACATGTTCACACGCACGCCGGCAACCCGCGTGCCTGGAAAGAAAATGCGTGAGTATCTACAGGAGTTGAAAATTTGCATCCGCGGAACCGTGACCGCGGACTTTCTATGCCCAGACGGTCGACGAGAAAAAACCCATGGACCCGTGTAATGGCTCACGTATGTGCACCGGAGCACGCGTTGAAATTTAAACCGTCACCACCACCATTGGCAACAGAACACCCACCACCGCGACCGGTATTCCGCGAATATCTCACTGTCCACCTTCAGCGAGCGAGAGAGAAGCACATCGGAGATCCGCGTAACTGGGTGAAGTGTCTAATCGACAAGCCGAATTAACGGGCATTTGCGTTCGAAAGACCGATTCGAGTTTGCCGGACAAATACCGGGACGATGTCGAATTCGATTCTGAACGCGATTGAGCGACGCTACGGTTGACCTGATGTCAACCGGATTTATGCGGTGAGACACTTTTCTGAATCTGTGCGGCCAAAGATAGATTCATACTGACCACACAGACTCCGAATGAAATAAGAACATTGTCGTTCCGAGCCTTATTACTTGTACAGAATATCACCACATGCACGCGTAACGTGGCACGTTAGAAGAGGCAACAAATCGCGTTTCTGCATTCGCAAAGTCCGTGTGTTTGATATAAATCGACTTGAATGCAGCCGAAAGTCCACGCGACGAATCAGACCCCGTAACCACTGCGACGTCGACTCCCGGCGTTTCGACCCTTTCTCTCTCCCGGATGTCCTCGTCGTCGTCGCCGGTGATTTTACCAGTTTCTGTAAACCTGGACGTCGGGCGAGCGTCGTTTGTAGCAGATCCGTTTTTCACTCGTCACTGTGGCACGCACAGAGCACCAACCACGGAAGGGAGGCAACGAGCGTGCGTTTTCGACCCGACTAGGGGAGGAACAGAGAGAGTTGGTATCGCGAAGAGGATCGAGAGAGGAATAGCGTGCTTCGACCGGGCGTTCCTCGGTCCTCCTCTGCCGCACGACGACTGAATCTTCGGGGTGGACTGGGGAGGCTGCGCGCAGGGTCGGCCCCGCTCGTTCCGGCACCCCGACGCTTCTCTCCTCCTCGCTCCCATCTCTTCTCGCTCCTCTTCTAGCGTCCGTCTCCTCCCCAATTCTCTATTTCGTTCCCTACAACATGCCGATTCTCGTCGCTCCGGCTGTCTACTCGGCGTCTCCTCCTACCTAGCGATAGGCATTCGATCCCCCCTGTTTCTTATTTTTAAGTAATTTATTCAATGATACGCGAAGACGATATATAGAAATACGTATTACGCGACTTTCAAAGCTTCTTGCGAAACGGTAGCGACGTGCGCGTAATTGACGAGATCGTGAAATCGTGGAGGAATGGAATCGTTGGAGAAATGCTGGGTTTTTGAAAATAGCAACATTTTATCTTCCAATACAAATATCCATTATGTTAAAGAGAAATTGTCGTATGTTCAGAACGCATTGAATCCATTGCTGTTTCCTCGCCCTTTTCCATCATCCACCCCTTTTTCTCTCTATTTCCCTGCGCGTCTCATTTTCTTGTATCGTTTTCGTCTCTCCCCCTTCGCTCGTCTCGTTGATTCTTTGTTGTTACTTTTCTCTCTTTGCTCGTTTCTCCCTCGTTTTTCTTGTTTCTTGTTTTTCTCTCGATTTCTTCATCCCTCGTTCTTCTCTTTTTCCCTTCCCCTCCAACTGTCACGTTTCTCTTTCGCCGTCCACCACTTTCCTAGCAAGCAGTGGTGGCGATAGCGGATGACGGTGGAAGTGGAAACGGTGGCGAACTATCGTGGCAGACAGGGACGGCACTAACTTTTAGGATTTCTCTTTGTAGAAAGACGCGTTTATCTCGGGTTCAAAGGCAGCTGGAATTTTTAGCCGCGTTACAGCGAATACCAGCGGTACTTTTTTATGAAAAGATCGTCCATGAATTTCTACTATTCTAAAATTTATACCGTTCTCCCCCCTGACTCAGAGATTAATCGCTGAGCGTAGCTGGTAACGGGAAAGGAGGAGAGACAGAGGAAATTGCGATGGTTGAGCGGCTAGGGGTTGTAGACGATCTGTTTTCGTGCATGTACTTTTTTTCAATTATGTTTATCTACCCTCCACAAACGAAGACACTAAACAATTGTTCCTTCTCCCCTTTCCACGGGGTTATTCGTACTCAGACAGTTAATAACAATGTGAAACTCATCTTATATGAACACCGTTTACTCAGAAGTGAATTAAAAATATTCATATTTTATTTATTTCACATTATTAAAGTTTGTAAAGAAATAGGGCAACGATTGTAAATGTTAGTTTAACTAATTTTTCATCCTACACCTACCTACCTATTATTCCATATTTGTCCAATGATCTGTCGGCTCGATAGAAGAGCGTCTAACTTGGCGAAAGTAAACTGAGAGAAGTAAGCTTGGAAAATATTGGCGTTGCCGCTTTTCAACCGTGAGAAATGATAATTCGACGATTTCCAGGCTAAGTAGACGACGGACCACAACTTTCGAGTTTCCCTCTCTTCCCGAGCGCGACTTTACGACTTACGAGTTACGAGTGTACAAAGTACCGCGCGACGCGGTGGCGAGAGGGAAATTTTTGTAAGACGCTCGAGCCACCGAGATGACGCTCGCTCGCTTGCTCGCTGGTTCGCGTTCTCAAGAGGGCCGTTTCCGTTCTCTCGAGTGGTTATCTTCACGAATCGCGCACGTACGGCAATTTCAGGCAAATTGTTTGCAGCGGACCATCTGCGGATTCAAACGAGCCTATTAGCGCTCGAAAGCGGGTCTATCCGCTTCCACGCTTTGCCGATATTCCGTCGGGATCAAAGCGATTCGACGTCCACGATCGTTTTATTATGAAAGCCCGGCTTTCATTGTCTCCTTATTCGCGCGCGTGCCACGGACCTTCGTCCGACTCTCTTATTAAGCGATTGTACGAAGTTGCGATGCTCGGTTAATAAAAAGTAAATAGTGCACACGCACGGCATTTGACAAAACACTGATGAGCGAGAAAACAAAGCGAATGAGCGTCTTTGTAGGGAATTCGAGACGCCTGTCTCGCTAAATGTATGCACTTTCGAAACCAGGCTCGAAATTTGTTGTATTTTTATTGATGCATCGATCGATGGAATTTCGTCGTATTTCTGTATGAATCACGTTCACCGAGAGCAAACGGTATGTATGTCGCATTTGACAATACGCCGCGCCCGTGGCATTCGAAATATTCATCTCCCAATACGCGCGCGATTGAAAGTACGCGCTCAGTCATTCAACAGCTTGTTTTTCGGGAAATTAGCGGGCTACCCATTAAGTGCATTCCGGAGCAGTCGTACGGTACAATAATTAACACGTCCCGTATAAAACAAACTGATTCGCAAATATTTGCTAGTTTCAAATATATACGATTGGGTTGCATTCAAATTTTGTATTATGTTAGGACACTAGTGTCATCGTGTCGTATAGTCGCAAAATCTCAGTGTTCATCGTGAAATAAATCTCTTTCTCACGATTCGCTTGCAGTCAAATGATTGAAAGTGTTCATGAATCAAATTACTTTGATTGGAGAGAAATATAAGACAATCTGAATTTTTACTTGAAACCAGAAAAAATAAAGTAATTCCGGTTTGAGATTAATTAATAATAAATTGATCAAAGTCTTGTTTTCATTAAATGGATTTGACGCAAAGTAGGCTCGTTTTATCCAAGTTATCACGAATGAGGAGGAGACAATTTGGTAGTAACGAGTACCTACTACCTAAGTATCGAATCTCTGGTCTCTGCTGAAGTCTCGCTCGCGCAAACAGATCTCCTTATGTTCTCGGTTCGATGAATAACGAGTTGATTTATATACTTACCTCCACGAGCAGTTTCTTGCCGATGTTCAGGAAGAACAGATATTTTCGTTCTCTCATTCTGAAATTGACTCGCCCCAGGGGATGCATTGTCTCGGTCAAAGACGAACAAGGAAATGTAAACCGAATGGCACAGAGCAAGAAGGAATTCGCTTCAACGTAGTGAGGAGATCGTTTTCCTCTTCCTGCCGGAAAAACCTTTTTTATTCAGCGATGAAACGTTCGTTTGCGTCGCTTTAACTATGCATGCATGTTTGTTCCGTACGTTTTCGTTTTTTCTTCACGAAACTCTGAAATGAAGTTGACTTTGGAACAATTGAATCGTACGACGTAACAGACGTACACACTTTCCTCTTCTCGCTTATCACTTTCAGCATTCTCTCTGCTAGCTACCAAACCTTTCAAATTAAACAATTAAACCAAATATTTGATCGTATTCGATGAATCTGCTCATTCGGAAGTGAACATAATATTTTCGTTAGTGTTTTACTTTACTAATTAATATAAAATAAATAAATAATATAAAACAATTAATATAAAATTACTAATATAAAATAAACAAATAACATTTTATACGTCGCGTTCTAATCGGGAAAATATTCTGTTATAAATATTTTATTCTATAAATGAATAAATGTGCAATCACGACGTAAATTGTGAATATCACTGAATATAAATAATGGAATAATACCACATATTTTTCATCGTTGCGCATGTTTTGAAACGTGATTATAAGCTAATTACGTTTAATATCAAACTATGACCAAATAATAGTGTTAGATATTTGTTTATTAAAGATAATTTACTTTACTTAATAATTTGAATAAAGATTATTAGTACGATTTTTAATGAATATTAAAATGCATTTGTCATTTTATTCTCCTTTCCTCCGAATTTTTCAATTATTATTTTTTGAAAATTATTTATAATTTCATAAATGATTCGGTATTTTTCGCATATTTTTTAACAAGATTGCTCCGAGAATCACTAAAAGGGTTAATTAGTTTTTCGAGTAATGTTCTACTTTCGCGTTTCTACGTAACTTACGGGCTCCATCGGCAGAGAGAGAGGAAGCGTTTAACTCGCGTCTCTATCAAATTTCATCGCGCAGCATGTTGACGAGATGCTCTTCAAAACTCATATCGAATGAAATTATTGGGCATGTTCCGCACCTTTGAAGTTTCTGGGTGAGTGCGTAAACGTCTTTGAAGAATGTCTCGCGTCACCTTTTTAGTCCTGTTCGAACAGTCCGCCTTCCTTCCACCTCTTTTGTTTTATCCATGATTTTCTCTTCTTAGTTTTTTTCTCCACTCGATCGTGGAGCCTCGAGCGTCTTCAAGTGCAGATACTTGGTTACACAACCAGACACGCAGAGACTGCAATCACAACATGTCCGAGTTCATTCACAAAAAATGAGCTGATTCGTGCTGAATTACAAGAGTAAACCTATTAGATTAACCAATATGTTCTCTGTATATAAAGAGCTAAAACCCATCCGAAATAAGATTAATTTTTATTGCACCTTGTATGCGAAATGCAAGTAATATAAGTTATGCCTTTTTCGTTTCGAAAGACATTAACTCGAACCTGTTTGAAATAATACAGACACAGATTTCTTTTAAACATTCCAAGTGGAGTTCTGACTTCAGCTTCGGTAGGCGTTTTGCTCCCGACGCACGATTGTACGTCTATTTCTCTTGTTTTGACTCAAAAAGCGTGGCTGCAGAAGATCTCGCGTCAAAAACTCGTCCGTTTGTCGGGAGACTTTTGGCAAGTTTAATGCTGGTATAAACGTATTCGCATGGGATGTACGCATCGCTAACACCCGCGACCGGTTTGTTCATCGACCTCCCCCGGTCGCCGGTCGGAAGAAAGGCGTGGGTTTATAAATATTTCGCGGTTTCACCGCGCACGACCCTCGACTCCTCCGTTGCGCGTTAGAAAATAATGTCTGAAGAGCTCCGCTCGGATAGAGCTGAACCGTGGAGTGGTAACCCTTCCACCGAGGCTCCGGATCGATAAACAAAATTCGTCTCGGAAGGAAGAGAAGAAACACCGACGTCGATTATTATTAATCCCTAGGCGATTCAATTCAATTCTAGAACATAGAAATTGAGAATGAATCGTAAAGCGATTGAACCGCTGTTCTC